TTCACCACACACCTGTGTTTGATATTCTCACACATACGCCAATCGTAATGCAAGATTTATGAATCATAATCAGTAGCATGGACTATTTGGAGAGCAAAGGGTTGATGTATTCATGAGAGTGTCCTACCCAAACCTTTCTAGCAAACAAGCGCTACTATAACCTATAGTAATGAAAAATGTACTGTCGGGCAGAACATGAATACACTCAAGAGAGAAATTGTATGGCTGTCTCCATCCGTCTCTTATGTGTAGCACTTCCTAAAGCCATTGCAAGACTTGGTGAATACAGTGAATGCACCCAGTCATGCTCAGGGCAGAGCCCGATAACGTACATAGATGGCCATTGAAGGAACATTGCTACCGTGCCGTTTACAAAGATCGACTTCACATAGATATGTCGTAGGAATTATAGAACAGTTATATGTCCTATCAATGAGGTCAAGCTGGGTGAGGTGAGGTGAAATTGGGTTTAACGTCGCGTCCAAGATTATTGCACTTATATAGCGACGTGCATGCACGTGTATGTGTGTGTGTGGCTGCTTGTACTAGTCCGGACTGATGCCGATTTATAGTGCTAGCTCACTGAGATACCATGCCGCAGTTTAACATGAATACCCCACTCAGACACAGTATACTGACTCCGAGCCGACCAGTCCTTGTTTTAGCCCCTTAATGCCGAGCGCCAGACAGGGTAACAACAAGTACAATCTTTTAACGTCTTTTTGTATGACGCGGCCCGGGATCGAACCCCGGACCTTCCGCTCTCCAGGCGGACGCTCTACCACAAGACCACGGAGGCGGTCAGGTCCAGCTGGGATTCTGGGTACATGTAAATCTACTTGGTGTCAATCATATTCTCTCTTACCAAGGGGCTTGGTATTCTGAATATTATTTTGTTGGATTGTTTGACCAACATGAATAGAAAGATGTTTAAAATTGAGGGTAGACCAAATGAAGCCCTTGTACAGTAAACTACGGTTATAACGAACTCAAAGGGACCACCCATTTTAGTTCGTAATAACCGTAGTTCGTTATAAGCATATATACAGCATATATGCAGCACAAGGCCGGGGCTAACAAGTAAGTTCGTTATATCGGTCAGTTCGTTATAAGCGTGTTCGTTATAACCGTAGTTTACTGTGTTAGATTTAAACATTAACGCGAGCATGAATGTAACACGACAAATGCGAGTATGTCTGTATGGGCGGTCAGGAACACACACAAGTGTTAGTCATGTGATGGGTGTATATTTTCCGCAGTGAATGAGTGAGTGCTGGAACACCAGACAGCTTTACACATTGTAGGGAATAGAACACGGAACTTCGAGGTGACGAGCGAACGCTTTAATCACTAGGCTACCCCACCGTATGATCTGATCTAATCAATTACAAAATGTAGAGTAAATATGTGATTGGCATTTCAAATTTTAAACGAAGAATGTGAAGTTAAACTTCCACATAGGATATAATGCAAAATGTAAAGAAGGGATGTTAATGTTCAAACTAGGGGATGACACTCGCATTAATTTAATTTGGAGACGCATTAATTTCATGACTTAATGAAACTATAAAGGCAACAACTGAAGAGTGGTGATGACCCACTTAATTGATAATCAGGCATCTGATGGAGGGCGGCCTTACAGAATGATCTTACTGAGTCACATCAGGTAGTGAAGACACCAACAATAGGCTTAATACCATTTGGCTGGGGTTTTGAACGCAGTCTTAAGCCTGACGATCCAGTGATTTTACCACAGGCTATCACACCGTCCTAGGGATTTACAAATATGGCGACGAAATGAAGTGAGCGAGTTTACGAGATCCACATCGAATGCCATAATGTCCGCTGTTAAACCATGTCGCCGACAGTGGCGTAGATCAAACACGATTTCCCGAGATGTTCTACACCTGGTTATAAAGAAGAGATAAAACGCTAATAATTCGTAATTTCTTCTTTGGGAACTAACTACAACGACTCCATCATATTTGCATGTACACGGTTACAGGCCACTTGCCCTGTTGTCACGTCTTTCACTCGATGCTTGAGCAGTTTTATGTCCAGAGCGTGTCCAGATACAATGAATACGGGGGTTTGTTCGGCACCCCGCCGAGCTGGTTAATCCCGTGCTTACTTGCTGGAGCTTGCTTGCTGAAATCTCCCCCGTCTTTATCATGTCAGTTACACACAGAATCATTAAGACTGTGGCTGCAATGATGGGTGGATGTATGGGTGGATGTATGGGTGGATGTATGGGTGGATGTATGGGTGGATGGGTGGATGTATGAGTGGATGGGTGGATGGGTGGATGGATGAGTGGGTGGATGGCTGTATGTATGGGTGTATGTATGGGTGGATGGGTGGATGGGTGTATGTATGGGTGGATGGGTGTATGGGTATATGTATGGGTGGATGGGTGGATGCGTGTATGTATGGGTGGATGGTGGATGGGTATATGTATGGGTGGATGGGTGGATGGGTGGATGGATGTATGTATGGGTGGATGGGTGTATGGGTATATGTATGGGTGGATGGGTGGAAGGGTGGATGGGTATATGGGTGTATGTATGGGTGGATGGGTGTATGGGTATATGTATGGGTGGATGGGTGGATGGGTGTATGTATGGGTGGATGGGTATATGGGTGTATGTATGGGAGGATGGGTGTATGGGTATATGTATGGGTGGATGGGTGTATGTATGGGTGGATGGTGGATGGGTGTATGTATGGGTGGATGGGTGTATGGGTATATGTATGGGTGGATGGGTGGATGGGTGTATGTATGGGTGGATGGGTGTATGTATGGGTGGATGGGTATATGGGTGTATGTATGGGTGGATGGGTGTATGGGTATATATATGGGTGGATGGGTAGATGGGTGGATGGGTGTATGTATGGGTGGATGGGTATATGGGTGTATGTATGGGAGGATGGGTGTATGGGTATATGTATGGGTGGATGGGTGTATGTATGGGTGGATGGTGGATGGGTGTATGTATGGGTGGATGGGTGTATGGGTATATGTATGGGTGGATGGGTGGATGGGTGTATGTATGGGTGGATGGGTGTATGTATGGGTGGATGGGTATATGGGTGTATGTATGGGTGGATGGGTGTATGGGTATATATATGGGTGGATGGGTAGATGGGTGGATGGGTGTATGTATGGGTGGATGGGTATATGGGTGTATGTATGGGAGGATGGGTGTATGGGTATATGTATGGGTGGATGGGTGGATGGGTGGATGGGTGTATGTATGGGTGGATGGGTGGATGTATGGGAGGATGGGTGGATGGGTGTATGTATGGGTGGATGGGTGGATGTATGGGAGGATGGGTGTATGGGTATATGTATGGGTGCATGGGTGCATGTATGGGTGGATGGGTGGATGGGTATATGTATGGGTGGATGGGCATATGGGTGTATGTATGGGTGGATGGGTGCATGGGTGTATGTATGGGTGGATGGGTATATGTATGGGTGTAAGGATGGGTGGATGGGTGTATGTATGGGTGGATGGGTATATGTATGGGTGGATGGATATATATATGGGTGTATTTTTGGGTGGATGGGTGTATGTATGGGTGCATGGGTGTATGTATGGGTGGATGGGTATATGTATGGGTGTATGTATGGGTGGATGGGTGTATGTATGGGTGGATGGGTGTATGTATGGGTGGATGGGTGGATGTATGGGTGGAAGGGTGTATGTTTGGGTGGATGGGTGTGTGTATGGGGGTATGTATGGGTGGATGGGTGTATGTATGGGTGGATGGGTATATGTATGGGGGATGGGTGTATGTATGGGTATATGTATGGGTGGATGGGTGTATGTATGGGTGGATGGGTGTATGTATGGGTGGATGGGTGTATGGGTGTATGTATGTGTGTATGGATGGACGGATGGGTGGATGGGTGTATGGGTGGCTGTATGGGTGGATGGCTTCATTGGTGGATGGACGGATGGACTGCGGATGGATGATGGTTGGGTGATACAGGACGCTTGGATGCATGCATGTGTGTCTGTATGTATGAACCTCTGTATAGTATGTAGGTGAGTAATCATTTTAACATTCCACTATTTATAACTCTTCGATAGCTACGTATCTCACAGGTCATTACTTCGCAGTCGGCTCTTCATAAAAATGATCATACCTTGACTAACACCTGATTAAGTCTGTTGTTACCCTGTCTGGCGCTCGGCATTAAGGGGCTCAAACAAGGACTGGTCGGCTCGGAGTCAGTATACTGAGTCTGAGTGGGGTATTCGTGTTAAACTGCGGCATGGTATCTCAGTGGGCTAGCACTATAAATCGGCATAAGTCCGGACTAGTACAAGCAGACACACAGACACACACACACACACACACACACACACACACACACACACACACACACACACACACACACACACACACACACACACACACACACACACACACACACACACACACGTGCATGCACATCGCTATATAAGTGCAATAATCTTGGACGCGACGTTAAACCCCATTTCAACTCACCTCACCTGCAAGCGTGACATTTCGAAAGCGAGGTCCGCATAATTGTCATGTTTTTCCTGAATCTTGTTAATCACATTAGTGTCAAGAGGGACAGAACATTCAATGATATAAATTGTTTCATTGGATTGATAAAAAAGGACAAGATTAGGTTTGTTGGCATGGATGGGCCTATTCCAAAGATTCTTTTATAATTCTCATATTCCCTGACGCCTTCTGCACATTCAGGGTCGTACCATGGATGGACCAGAGCGAAGACTGCACACCAAAAACATCACCCCACTCCACCTTGTCGCTTACGATACCGTGTTTTTGCCAAAGCTGGGCATCCACTGACAGAGTGTTGGACAGTCCCATTAAATGCAGTGCATAATCTACATTTAATTTCGATGCATTTTGATGCAAACTCCCACATTGACCATTTCGAGTGGGAAGTGACTGGTCCTGTAGGAAATAGAAGATGTACGTTACAAGACTAGACTTACCTTCATGAAAGCGAAAGATGAGCGAACGGAGTTGTGGAGTGACTAGCTTGAACCACACCCCTACCTGTTCTGGTTGAACGCCAGATTAGGCTCCCAGCTCCACGTTGAATGAATGGGATGACACAATGGGCGGAATGCGGGTATCCCATTCCCAGGGAGGGATAATATAGTAAATGTTCCCCACAGTTCAACATAGGTCAGTGCATCTATTCATTCACCTACATGTACGTTCACTAAGATCCCCTAGGTATGTGTATCTATTGTATGTTCAGCAAGTCTTTAGGTAGGCTCCACGCTGAAGTTGCTTTGAAAGGATTCTGTTGGTGTTTAACTGAGAAGGTGAAATGTGTTTCGCTGACGTATCGCTTAAGGTGTCCTGCAGGCTTCTCGCTCGAGAGTATGCAGGGTAGGTCTTCTTTCGCTCCAGTGATCACCCCCTCCTTCTCATGTTACCCAATGTTCCCGGGCGTGGGCAGACAAACCCGCTCATCCAATATATGCCATGAGGGCTGGATCCTGGTTGACGCGAAGTCATCGGATATATGTCGACTTCGATCTTTTATCTCGATATCTAAGCTGCACCGATAGAATGGACAAGTTTATTGTAGCTATTTGGTGGTCACTTCTTTCGAACTTTGGATAACTTGACAGAAATCTTAACTGTGGTTCCGCTTATTTGAACTTTTAGGAAGTCGACGGAACACTTCAAAGCACTGTAGTATCAGTACCGCACTCCGGTTGTTTCGAACTGTAGATAACTCGACAGAACACTTCAAAGTACTATAATAGTATCAGTTTCGCACTTCGGTTGTTTCGAACTGTGCATAACTCGACAGTATGCTTAACAGTACTATAGCATCAGTTCCGCACTCCGGTTGTTTCGAACTGTAGATAACTCGACAGTATGCTTAACAGTACTATATCATCAGTTCCGCACTCCGATTGTTTCGAATTGTATATGACTCGACAGTATGTTTAACAGTACTATAGTATCAGTTCCGCACTCCGGTTGTTTCGAATTGTACATAACGCGACAGTTTGCTTAACAGTACTATAGTATTAGTTCCGCACTCCGGTTGTTTCGAACTGTACATAACGCGACAGTTTGCTTAACAGTACTATAGTATTAGTTCCGCACTCCGGTTGTTTCGAACTGTAGATAACTCGACAGAACACTTAAGAAGTACTATAGCATCAGTTCCGCACTTCGGTTGTTTCGAACTGTGGATAACTCGACAGTATGCTTAACAGTACTATAGCATTAGTTCCGCACTCCGGTTGTTTCGAACTGTAGATAACTCGACAGTATGCTTAACAGTACTATATCATCAGATCCGCACTCCGATTGCTTCGAATTGTATATGACTCGACAGTATGTTTAACAGTACTATAGTATTAGTTCCGCACGCCGGTTGTTTCGAACTGTAGATAACTCGACAGTATGTTTAACAGTACTAGAGTATTAGTTCCGCACTCCGGTTGTTTCGAATTGTATTTGACTCGACAGTATGTTTAACAGTACTATAGTATCAGTCCCGCACTCCGGTTGTTTCGAATTGTATATGACTCGACAGTTTGCTTAACAGTACTATAGCATCAGTTCCGCACTCCGGTTGTTTCGAACTGAAGATAACTCGACAATATGCTTAACAGTACTATGAGTCAACCTGTTTAACGAGGATATGACTGCAAAGAATGAAACTTTATTAACCCGGGCAACTACAAATTCGAAATCTTTAAGTTTATGAGTTAAATTTATGGATTACAACCTTAAAAGTTTGCTCGCTAAAATTTATAGGGATAAGTTCAGTTTTAAAATGGGATCGGATTTTCCCTGATGTGCCTGCTATACATGGCTATGCATTACTTATGAACGTATGGATAAGTTGTTCGTGTGTTGTTTGCCGCCGCACTCAGCAAGGTTACAGTTATGTGACCGAGTCTGGACCAGAAAATCCATTGATTGATATCCCATGAATGTCTTCTCTCATCGATCAAGTCACCGACCGTCACCTTCCTATCAATGTGCCGCCTATTGTGACATGCGTAGGTGGCCGGGCTCCTCTTTCAACACATTTCCCACTCCAGGTTAACGATGGCATGCTGAGAAAATACCTTACGTGTAGTGTTTACACAAAATCCTTCGGGCATGTCTTTCTAAGTATATGTATTCCTCAATAAGGACTACTCGATGAATATTGTATACAGAGCGACTGAAATACTTCCTCCGACGCACTAGTGTTTACCCTTGTAAGTGACATACGAGCCGCGATGCGTGTGGGAATCAGAAACACACGGTTATAAATCCAGCTACGCACCATTACATTCCGCAGGGGCGCGATGTCGCTATTCAACTCTGTCAACTTTGGAAAGCTTGTATCGCGGAGAATACAACAGTTGGCCTTGCGCAAGAGTTGACCAGTGAGTACAAAGATGGACGTGGGCGTACATGTGTACAGACAAGGGACCCTTCAGGGTAATGGACAATACATGTATCCGCCGTAGAAAATGTATGTTGTTCTAGGGGATACTTCTTCAATATACAACACAACTCCGTCTGCGGGTCCACAACGTTTTATTGTGCATGGGAGCTTCACTAGCTGTTTCGTGTTCAGCTCCCAGATCTCAACTGCCAGCTCGCGCCGGACTTGATGGATATATCTCTTTCTAACATTCATTACTATTCTTTATAAGGTAATACAGCTATGCCATGTAGTATCTCGTCCACAACCCACATGCCTCACGTGCAGTGGTCGCCCTGGTGATCTTACTCTTGGCCTTATAAGACAACAGCATGAAGTTGCAGTCCCACAACTCCAAGAGTACATGTATGTATGGCCGGCCTCCCGCATCCCTCACTAGCCCCCAGTGAAACAGCTGTCCAGTGCACGCCTGACATGTGACCTGGTCACTCCCCCATGAGGGGTTTGCGCACACTGCTCGCGGTCCATTGTATATTACCGTATGTGGTATACTGTATATTTCTCTTGAAATACTGAAAGGCAAAAAGTAGCTTAATTTTATGCATGTAATAATGGAAAACTGCTATATCTTATTTCACTTACACCACTTGTATTGGCTTCATATATTTCATTTGTGCATTTAGTATGTTTATGTTTAGCACTATTTTACATATAATCTGATATATAACCAGCTGTTGTAAAGTTATTACCTGGAGAGGTATTTACATAAGCAAGTTTTGCTTGTTTACCGATCCAGATTTCTTTTGAAATAAAAATATCATGTTTAAACCAACAGCTTTATTTCTGCGCCGTTAAAATATTGCGAATACCACACCAAAGACAATACTGCGACGAGATATTTTTGCGAGTTGCCGTGTTGAGATGACCCCTCGATTACCAAACAATAGACAGCTTCTCTCCGAAGCTAGTTCATCTGAGTTGGCCGGAAAGTTGACCAGAGTCATGAAACAGATTCACGCAAGATGGCTTGTTTCCTGTGTGGACAAAATTGCAAAGGACACTGACGCAATCAAGCGAGGTTGGAAGAAGGCAGGATTACTGTGAGTAACAGTGACACTAATTGGTCTGTTTACACTGTCATTTGTGATGTATTGTGTTTTCATTTGTGTTTTTAACTTATTGAGTAACTTGTGGTTCTGGTTGATTATTTCAACATTTGATGACGTGTTGCAATGAATAAAGTATGTATGTATTATTTATACTTATTTTTGCGTTTTAAATTTTTGCGATTGAGTCTCGTTCGCAAAACTCGCAATAATAAAATGGTCGCAAAAAATTCCCTGTTTACAGTAGTTGAATCATTTAAAACCTCCAAACAGATTACTGTTTAAAAAATCACAGCGATAGAGTTCAAAATGTATTACAGGACTGCTACTCGTCTGTCTCACAGACCCTGATACAAGTAATTTATATCACATACAGCCCAAGCAAGTCTATAATGTTTGGCAAATCTAGATTACTGCAGTATCTGAAAATGAAGAGGCTCCCTATTATTATATTTTTGTTAAGATAATTGAACAACTGTTTTCGTCATTAGGGTATGTTCATTTCAGAGACTAGATGTTAGTCTAGACTGTTACGTACACTTGCAAAATGTGCACTGAAGGCGAACGGCAGTGAAAACTAATTATATTCCAGGCGAGCGGCACAAGAAACTAACTGTACACGCCAGTATATACGACGAGACAAACCTTATTCAAACTCGCTCGACTTGTCTCACCAACAAGGTAGATGAACATGAAAGAAAATAGCATATGTTGATCTTACAAAGTAAGGGAACAGATTGTATGAACAACCTAATACTGACGTGTCTTGATCCGTGGTCTAGTGGATAGAGCTTCTGCCCGGAGAGAGGAAGCTCGGGGGTTCGATCCCGGCCACGTCATACCAAAAGACGTTAAAATATGGTACTTGTTGTTACCCTGTCTGGCGCCGGGCATTAACGGGATAAAACAAGGACCGGTCGGCTCGGAGTCAGTCTACTGTGTCCGAGTGGGATATCCATAACATAAGACATATTTCGCATGAGATATTTCATTGAAAGGTTACACTGACACTGTGTTGACACAAAATGATCCGCCGGTGAATGATGACGAATTCGTCATAAAAAAAGCTGAATATATCACACACACTTCAGCCAATAGTAGCGTTATATTTTCTTACTCCCATCAACTGACGCATCCTTTTTTTTACAGAAATCAGTTTAACAATTGTACTTTCAGTGAAGAGTTTCGACACGACCGTCTCTATACTCAAACCTTTCGATACAGCCTGTTTAATAAATGACACAGCTACACAAACGGTACACATAAAGGTCCACACTCCGGCGCAGTGGTGACTCAGCATAACACCACTGCCACAGGCTAATTTGCATAGCACGTGACCGGACTTTTCTCTTGTTTGTAAACAAACGCGCTTTTTCAGTCTGTTACCATCGTGTTTCGCAACCCTCCCCCACGCAGTCATTACTTACCGGTTCTGCAAGTTAAAATTATCTGATCTCATTTGTATTACCACAAAAAAGCTAGCTAGGCGATAAATAGCATAGCACAACGAAGAACGGAGCGTGTTTATTTCACATTGTTCTATAATTACGCCATTTCTGGAGATTCGAATATGTGAACGATCGCATCACAATGTGGGAGGATTATGACAATAGGTATTATGAGGATAGTGAAAATATGCCGGAAATACCAAATTTAACCCACCTGTTAAAACAATAGACTTGTCCAACATTTCCGGAGGTCGGATTCTAATCAGAGAGTCATCATAATTAATATTAAGGTAACTATTTTTAAAGCTTGTACATTTAGCAACACCCTTACAGAGGATGTAATATAATCATGTTTATATCCTATAAAAGAGTGGGAGTTATTTATCGTACAATAAAAAACTGCAGGGAGCACGAATTGCCTTCACCCCATCATGCATGAGAGAGTTACCCCATCTCACATTACATTAACACAACATCTACAACCCATGATGACACACGCCATGCGGAGTTACCCGTGAATGTGTACATTACACATCATATAACGTGTTTAAAGTAGAAGACCTGGCATGGGGTAAAACGTCCAGATGTACCGTATTCGACGTAATAAGCGTTGGGTGATACAGGACGCTTGGATGCATGCATGTGTGTCTGTATGTATGAACCTCTGTATAGTATGTAGGTGAGTAATCATTTTAACATTCCACTATTTATAACTCTTCGATAGCTACGTATCTCACAGGTCATTACTTCGCAGTCGGCTCTTCATAAAAATGATCATACCTTGACTAACACCTGATTAAGTCTGTTGTTACCCTGTCTGGCGCTCGGCATTAAGGGGCTCAAACAAGGACTGGTCGGCTCGGAGTCAGTATACTGAGTCTGAGTGGGGTATTCGTGTTAAACTGCGGCATGGTATCTCAGTGGGCTAGCACTATAACTCGGCATAAGTCCGGACTAGTACAAGCAGACACACAGACACACACACACACACACACACACACACACACACACACACACACACACACACACACACACACACACACACACACACACACACACACACACACACACACACACACGTGCATGCACATCGCTATATAAGTGCAATAATCTTGGACGCGACGTTAAACCCCATTTCAACTCACCTCACCTGCAAGCGTGACATTTCGAAAGCGAGGTCCGCATAATTGTCATGTTTTTCCTGAATCTTGTTAATCACATTAGTGTCAAGAGGGACAGAACATTCAATGATATAAATTGTTTCATTGGATTGATAAAAAAGGACAAGATTAGGTTTGTTGGCATGGATGGGCCTATTCCAAAGATTCTTTTATAATTCTCATATTCCCTGACGCCTTCTGCACATTCAGGGTCGTACCATGGATTGACCAGAGCGAAGACTGCACACCAAAAACATCACCCCACTCCACCTTGTCGCTTACGATACCGTGTTTTTGCCAAAGCTGGGCATCCACTGACAGAGTGTTGGACAGTCCCATTAAATGCAGTGCATAATCTACATTTAATTTCGATGCATTTTGATGCAAACTCCCACATTGACCATTTCGAGTGGGAAGTGACTGGTCCTGTAGGAAATAGAAGATGTACGTTACAAGACTAGACTTACCTTCATGAAAGCGAAAGATGAGCGAACGGAGTTGTGGAGTGACTAGCTTGAACCACACCCCTACCTGTTCTGGTTGAACGCCAGATTAGGCTCCCAGCTCCACGTTGAATGAATGGGATGACACAATGGGCGGAATGCGGGTATCCCATTCCCAGGGAGGGATAATATAGTAAATGTTCCCCACAGTTCAACATAGGTCAGTGCATCTATTCATTCACCTACATGTACGTTCACTAAGATCCCCTAGGTATGTGTATCTATTGTATGTTCAGCAAGTCTTTAGGTAGGCTCCACGCTGAAGTTGCTTTGAAAGGATTCTGTTGGTGTTTAACTGAGAAGGTGAAATGTGTTTCGCTGACGTATCGCTTAAGGTGTCCTGCAGGCTTCTCGCTCGAGAGTATGCAGGGTAGGTCTTCTTTCGCTCCAGTGATCACCCCCTCCTTCTCATGTTACCCAATGTTCCCGGGCGTGGGCAGACAAACCCGCTCATCCAATATATGCCATGAGGGCTGGATCCTGGTTGACGCGAAGTCATCGGATATATGTCGACTTCGATCTTTTATCTCGATATCTAAGCTGCACCGATAGAATGGACAAGTTTATTGTAGCTATTTGGTGGTCACTTCTTTCGAACTTTGGATAACTTGACAGAAATCTTAACTGTGGTTCCGCTTATTTGAACTTTTAGGAAGTCGACGGAACACTTCAAAGCACTGTAGTATCAGTACCGCACTCCGGTTGTTTCGAACTGTAGATAACTCGACAGAACACTTCAAAGTACTATAATAGTATCAGTTTCGCACTTCGGTTGTTTCGAACTGTGCATAACTCGACAGTATGCTTAACAGTACTATAGCATCAGTTCCGCACTCCGGTTGTTTCGAACTGTAGATAACTCGACAGTATGCTTAACAGTACTATATCATCAGTTCCGCACTCCGATTGTTTCGAATTGTATATGACTCGACAGTATGTTTAACAGTACTATAGTATCAGTTCCGCACTCCGGTTGTTTCGAATTGTACATAACGCGACAGTTTGCTTAACAGTACTATAGTATTAGTTCCGCACTCCGGTTGTTTCGAACTGTACATAACGCGACAGTTTGCTTAACAGTACTATAGTATTAGTTCCGCACTCCGGTTGTTTCGAACTGTAGATAACTCGACAGAACACTTAAGAAGTACTATAGCATCAGTTCCGCACTTCGGTTGTTTCGAACTGTGGATAACTCGACAGTATGCTTAACAGTACTATAGCATTAGTTCCGCACTCCGGTTGTTTCGAACTGTAGATAACTCGACAGTATGCTTAACAGTACTATATCATCAGATCCGCACTCCGATTGCTTCGAATTGTATATGACTCGACAGTATGTTTAACAGTACTATAGTATTAGTTCCGCACGCCGGTTGTTTCGAACTGTAGATAACTCGACAGTATGTTTAACAGTACTAGAGTATTAGTTCCGCACTCCGGTTGTTTCGAATTGTATTTGACTCGACAGTATGTTTAACAGTACTATAGTATCAGTCCCGCACTCCGGTTGTTTCGAATTGTATATGACTCGACAGTTTGCTTAACAGTACTATAGCATCAGTTCCGCACTCCGGTTGTTTCGAACTGAAGATAACTCGACAATATGCTTAACAGTACTATGAGTCAACCTGTTTAACGAGGATATGACTGCAAAGAATGAAACTTTATTAACCCGGGCAACTACAAATTCGAAATCTTTAAGTTTATGAGTTAAATTTATGGATTACAACCTTAAAAGTTTGCTCGCTAAAATTTATAGGGATAAGTTCAGTTTTAAAATGGGATCGGATTTTCCCTGATGTGCCTGCTATACATGGCTATGCATTACTTATGAACGTATGGATAAGTTGTTCGTGTGTTGTTTGCCGCCGCACTCAGCAAGGTTACAGTTATGTGACCGAGTCTGGACCAGAAAATCCATTGATTGATATCCCATGAATGTCTTCTCTCATCGATCAAGTCACCGACCGTCACCTTCCTATCAATGTGCCGCCTATTGTGACATGCGTAGGTGGCCGGGCTCCTCTTTCAACACATTTCCCACTCCAGGTTAACGATGGCATGCTGAGAAAATACCTTACGTGTAGTGTTTACACAAAATCCTTCGGGCATGTCTTTCTAAGTATATGTATTCCTCAATAAGGACTACTCGATGAATATTGTATACAGAGCGACTGAAATACTTCCTCCGACGCACTAGTGTTTACCCTTGTAAGTGACATACGAGCCGCGATGCGTGTGGGAATCAGAAACACACGGTTATAAATCCAGCTACGCACCATTACATTCCGCAGGGGCGCGATGTCGCTATTCAACTCTGTCAACTTTGGAAAGCTTGTATCGCGGAGAATACAACAGTTGGCCTTGCGCAAGAGTTGACCAGTGAGTACAAAGATGGACGTGGGCGTACATGTGTACAGACAAGGGACCCTTCAGGGTAATGGACAATACATGTATCCGCCGTAGAAAATGTATGTTGTTCTAGGGGATACTTCTTCAATATACAACACAACTCCGTCTGCGGGTCCACAACGTTTTATTGTGCATGGGAGCTTCACTAGCTGTTTCGTGTTCAGCTCCCAGATCTCAACTGCCAGCTCGCGCCGGACTTGATGGATATATCTCTTTCTAACATTCATTACTATTCTTTATAAGGTAATACAGCTATGCCATGTAGTATCTCGTCCACAACCCACATGCCTCACGTGCAGTGGTCGCCCTGGTGATCTTACTCTTGGCCTTATAAGACAACAGCATGAAGTTGCAGTCCCACAACTCCAAGAGTACATGTATGTATGGCCGGCCTCCCGCATCCCTCACTAGCCCCCAGTGAAACAGCTGTCCAGTGCACGCCTGACATGTGACCTGGTCACTCCCCCATGAGGGGTTTGCGCACACTGCTCGCGGTCCATTGTATATTACCGTATGTGGTATACTGTATATTTCTCTTGAAATACTGAAAGGCAAAAAGTAGCTTAATTTTATGCATGTAATAATGGAAAACTGCTATATCTTATTTCACTTACACCACTTGTATTGGCTTCATATATTTCATTTGTGCATTTAGTATGTTTATGTTTAGCACTATTTTACATATAATCTGATATATAACCAGCTGTTGTAAAGTTATTACCTGGAGAGGTATTTACATAAGCAAGTTTTGCTTGTTTACCGATCCAGATTTCTTTTGAAATAAAAATATCATGTTTAAACCAACAGCTTTATTTCTGCGCCGTTAAAATATTGCGAATACCACACCAAAGACAATACTGCGACGAGATATTTTTGCGAGTTGCCGTGTTGAGATGACCCCTCGATTACCAAACAATAGACAGCTTCTCTCCGAAGCTAGTTCATCTGAGTTGGCCGGAAAGTTGACCAGAGTCATGAAACAGATTCACGCAAGATGGCTTGTTTCCTGTGTGGACAAAATTGCAAAGGACACTGACGCAATCAAGCGAGGTTGGAAGAAGGCAGGATTACTGTGAGTAACAGTGACACTAATTGGTCTGTTTACACTGTCATTTGTGATGTATTGTGTTTTCATTTGTGTTTTTAACTTATTGAGTAACTTGTGGTTCTGGTTGATTATTTCAACATTTGATGACGTGTTGCAATGAATAAAGTATGTATGTATTATTTATACTTATTTTTGCGTTTTAAATTTTTGCGATTGAGTCTCGTTCGCAAAACTCGCAATAATAAAATGGTCGCAAAAAATTCCCTGTTTACAGTAGTTGAATCATTTAAAACCTCCAAACAGATTACTGTTTAAAAAATCACAGCGATAGAGTTCAAAATGTATTACAGGACTGCTACTCGTCTGTCTCACAGACCCTGATACAAGTAATTTATATCACATACAGCCCAAGCAAGTCTATAATGTTTGGCAAATCTAGATTACTGCAGTATCTGAAAATGAAGAGGCTCCCTATTATTATATTTTTGTTAAGATAATTGAACAACTGTTTTCGTCATTAGGGTATGTTCATTTCAGAGACTAGATGTTAGTCTAGACTGTTACGTACACTTGCAAAATGTGCACTGAAGGCGAACGGCAGTGAAAACTAATTATATTCCAGGCGAGCGGCACAAGAAACTAACTGTACACGCCAGTATATACGACGAGACAAACCTTATTCAAACTCGCTCGACTTGTCTCACCAACAAGGTAGATGAACATGAAAGAAAATAGCATATGTTGATCTTACAAAGTAAGGGAACAGATTGTATGAACAACCTAATACTGACGTGTCTTGATCCGTGGTCTAGTGGATAGAGCTTCTGCCCGGAGAGAGGAAGCTCGGGGGTTCGATCCCGGCCACGTCATACCAAAAGACGTTAAAATATGGTACTTGTTGTTACCCTGTCTGGCGCCGGGCATTAACGGGATAAAACAAGGACCGGTCGGCTCGGAGTCAGTCTACTGTGTCCGAGTGGGATATCCATAACATAAGACATATTTCGCATGAGATATTTCATTGAAAGGTTACACTGACACTGTGTTGACACAAAATGATCCGCCGGTGAATGATGACGAATTCGTCATAAAAAAAGCTGAATATATCACACACACTTCAGCCAATAGTAGCGTTATATTTTCTTACTCCCATCAACTGACGCATCCTTTTTTTTACAGAAATCAGTTTAACAATTGTACTTTCAGTGAAGAGTTTCGACACGACCGTCTCTATACTCAAACCTTTCGATACAGCCTGTTTAATAAATGACACAGCTACACAAACGGTACACATAAAGGTCCACACTCCGGCGCAGTGGTGACTCAGCATAACACCACTGCCACAGGCTAATTTGCATAGCACGTGACCGGACTTTTCTCTTGTTTGTAAACAAACGCGCTTTTTCAGTCTGTTACCATCGTGTTTCGCAACCCTCCCCCACGCAGTCATTACTTACCGGTTCTGCAAGTTAAAATTATCTGATCTCATTTGTATTACCACAAAAAAGCTAGCTAGGCGATAAATAGCATAGCACAACGAAGAACGGAGCGTGTTTATTTCACATTGTTCTATAATTACGCCATTTCTGGAGATTCGAATATGTGAACGATCGCATCACAATGTGGGAGGATTATGACAATAGGTATTATGAGGATAGTGAAAATATGCCGGAAATACCAAATTTAACCCACCTGTTAAAACAATAGACTTGTCCAACATTTCCGGAGGTCGGATTCTAATCAGAGAGTCATCATAATTAATATTAAGGTAACTATTTTTAAAGCTTGTACATTTAGCAACACCCTTACAGAGGATGTAATATAATCATGTTTATATCCTATAAAAGAGTGGGAGTTATTTATCGTACAATAAAAAACTGCAGGGAGCACGAATTGCCTTCACCCCATCATGCATGAGAGAGTTACCCCATCTCACATTACATTAACACAACATCTACAACCCATGATGACACACGCCATGCGGAGTTACCCGTGAATGTGTACATTACACATCATATAACGTGTTTAAAGTAGAAGACCTGGCATGGGGTAAAACGTCCAGATGTACCGTATTCGACGTAATAAGCGTTGGGTGATACAGGACGCTTGGATGCATGCATGTGTGTCTGTATGTATGAACCTCTGTATAGTATGTAGGTGAGTAATCATTTTAACATTCCACTATTTATAACTCTTCGATAGCTACGTATCTCACAGGTCATTACTTCGCAGTCGGCTCTTCATAAAAATGATCATACCTTGACTAACACCTGATTAAGTCTGTTGTTACCCTGTCTGGCGCTCGGCATTAAGGGGCTCAAACAAGGACTGGTCGGCTCGGAGTCAGTATACTGAGTCTGAGTGGGGTATTCGTGTTAAACTGCGGCATGGTATCTCAGTGGGCTAGCACTATAACTCGGCATAAGTCCGGACTAGTACAAGCAGACACACAGACACACACACACACACACACACACACACACACACACACACACACACACACACACACACACACACACACACACACACACACACACACACACACACACACGTGCATGCACATCGCTATATAAGTGCAATAATCTTGGACGCGACGTTAAACCCCATTTCAACTCACCTCACCTGCAAGCGTGACATTTCGAAAGCGAGGTCCGCATAATTGTCATGTTTTTCCTGAATCTTGTTAATCACATTAGTGTCAAGAGGGACAGAACATTCAATGATATAAATTGTTTCATTGGATTGATAAAAAAGGACAAGATTAGGTTTGTTGGCATGGATGGGCCTATTCCAAAGATTCTTTTATAATTCTCATATTCCCTGACGCCTTCTGCACATTCAGGGTCGTACCATGGATTGACCAGAGCGAAGACTGCACACCAAAAACATCACCCCACTCCACCTTGTCGCTTACGATACCGTGTTTTTGCCAAAGCTGGGCATCCACTGACAGAGTGTTGGACAGTCCCATTAAATGCAGTGCATAATCTACATTTAATTTCGATGCATTTTGATGCAAACTCCCACATTGACCATTTCGAGTGGGAAGTGACTGGTCCTGTAGGAAATAGAAGATGTACGTTACAAGACTAGACTTACCTTCATGAAAGCGAAAGATGAGCGAACGGAGTTGTGGAGTGACTAGCTTGAACCACACCCCTACCTGTTCTGGTTGAACGCCAGATTAGGCTCCCAGCTCCACGTTGAATGAATGGGATGACACAATGGGCGGAATGCAGGTATCCCATTCCCAGGGAGGGATAATATAGTAAATGTTCCCCACAGTTCAACATAGGTCAGTGCATCTATTCATTCACCTACATGTACGTTCACTAAGATCCCCTAGGTATGTGTATCTATTGTATGTTCAGCAAGTCTTTAGGTAGGCTCCACGCTGAAGTTGCTTTGAAAGGATTCTGTTGGTGTTTAACTGAGAAGGTGAAATGTGTTTCGCTGACGTATCGCTTAAGGTGTCCTGCAGGCTTCTCGCTCGAGAGTATGCAGGGTAGGTCTTCTTTCGCTCCAGTAATCACCCCCTCCTTCTCATGTTACCCAATGTTCCCGGGCGTGGGCAGACAAACCCGCTCATCCAATATATGCCATGAGGGCTGGATCCTGGTTGACGCGATGTCATCGGATATATGTCGACTTCGATCTTTTATCTCGATATCTAAGCTGCACCGATAGAATGGACAAGTTTATTGTAGCTATTTGGTGGTCACTTCTTTCGAACTTTGGATAACTTGACAGAAATCTTAACTGTGGTTCCGCTTATTTGAACTTTTAGGAAGTCGACGGAACACTTCAAAGCACTGTAGTATCAGTACCGCACTCCGGTTGTTTCGAACTGTAGATAACTCGACAGAACACTTCAAAGTACTATAATAGTATCAGTTTCGCACTTCGGTTGTTTCGAACTGTGCATAACTCGACAGTATGCTTAACAGTACTATAGCATCAGTTCCGCACTCCGGTTGTTTCGAACTGTAGATAACTCGACAGTATGCTTAACAGTACTATATCATCAGTTCCGCACTCCGATTGTTTCGAATTGTATATGACTCGACAGTATGTTTAACAGTACTATAGTATCAGTTCCGCACTCCGGTTGTTTCGAATTGTACATAACGCGACAGTTTGCTTAACAGTACTATAGTATTAGTTCCGTACTCCGGTTGTTTCGAACTGTACATAACGCGACAGTTTGCTTAACAGTACTATAGTATTAGTTCCGCACTCCGGTTGTTTCGAACTGTAGATAACTCGACAGAACACTTAAGAAGTACTATAGCATCAGTTCCGCACTTCGGTTGTTTCGAACTGTGGATAACTCGACAGTATGCTTAACAGTACTATAGCATTAGTTCCGCACTCCGGTTGTTTCGAACTGTAGATAACTCGACAGTATGCTTAACAGTACTATATCATCAGATCCGCACTCCGATTGCTTCGAATTGTATATGACTCGACAGTATGTTTAACAGTACTATAGTATTAGTTCCGCACGCCGGTTGTTTCGAACTGTAGATAACTCGACAGTATGTTTAACAGTACTATAGTATTAGTTCCGCACTCCGGTTGTTTCGAATTGTATTTGACTCGACAGTATGTTTAACAGTACTATAGTATCAGTCCCGCACTCCGGTTGTTTCGAATTGTATATGACTCGACAGTTTGCTTAACAGTACTATAGCATCAGTTCCGCACTCCGGTTGTTTCGAACTGAAGATAACTCGACAATATGCTTAACAGTACTATGAGTCAACCTGTTTAACGAGGATATGACTGCAAAGAATGAAACTTTATTAACCCGGGCAACTACAAATTCGAAATCTTTAAGTTTATGAGTTAAATTTATGGATTACAACCTTAAAAGTTTGCTCGCTAAAATTTATAGGGATAAGTTCAGTTTTAAAATGGGATCGGATTTTCCCTGATGTGCCTGCTATACATGGCTATGCATTACTTATGAACGTATGGATAAGTTGTTCGTGTGTTGTTTGCCGCCGCACTCAGCAAGGTTACAGTTATGTGACCGAGTCTGGACCAGAAAATCCATTGATTGATATCCCATGAATGTCTTCTCTCATCGATCAAGTCACCGACCGTCACCTTCCTATCAATGTGCCGCCTATTGTGACATGCGTAGGTGGCCGGGCTCCTCTTTCAACACATTTCCCACTCCAGGTTAACGATGGCATGCTGAGAAAATACCTTACGTGTAGTGTTTACACAAAATCCTTCGGGCATGTCTTTCTAAGTATATGTATTCCTCAATAAGGACTACTCGATGAATATTGTATACAGAGAGACTGAAATACTTCCTCCGACGCACTAGTGTTTACCCTTGTAAGTGACATACGAGCCGCGATGCGTGTGGGAATCAGAAACACACGGTTATAAATCCAGCTACGCACCATTACATTCAGCAGGGGCGCGATGTCGCTATTCAACTCTGTCAACTTTGGAAAGCTTGTATCGCGGAGAATACAACAGTTGGCCTTGCGCAAGAGTTGACCAGTGAGTACAAAGATGGACGTGGGCGTACATGTGTACAGACAAGGGATCCTTCAGGGTAATGGACAATACATGTATCCGCCGTAGAAAATGTATGTTGTTCTAGGGGATACTTCTTCAATATACAACACAACTCCGTCTGCGGGTCCACAACGTTTTATTGTGCATGGGAGCTTCACTAGCTGTTTCGTGTTCAGCTCCCAGATCTCAACTGCCAGCTCGCGCCGGACTTGATGGATATATCTCTTTCTAACATTCATTACTATTCTTTATAAGGTAATACAGCTATGCCATGTAGTATCTCGTCCACAACCCACATGCCTCACGTGCAGTGGTCGCCCTGGTGATCTTACTCTTGGCCTTATAAGACAACAGCATGAAGTTGCAGTCCCACAACTCCAAGAGTACATGTATGTATGGCCGGCCTCCCGCATCCCTCACTAGCCCCCAGTGAAACAGCTGTCCAGTGCACGCCTGACATGTGACCTGGTCACTCCCCCATGAGGGGTTTGCGCACACTGCTCGCGGTCCATTGTATATTACCGTATGTGGTATACTGTATATTTCTCTTGAAATACTGAAAGGCAAAAAGTAGCTTAATTTTATGCATGTAGTAATGGAAAACTGCTATATCTTATTTCACTTACACCACTTGTATTGGCTTCATATATTTCATTTGTGCATTTAGTATGTTTATGTTTAGCACTATTTTACATATAATCTGATATATAACCAGCTGTTGTAAAGTTATTACCTGGAGAGGTATTTACATAAGCAAGTTTTGCTTGTTTACCGATCCAGATTTCTTTTGAAATAAAAATATCATGTTTAAACCAACAGCTTTATTTCTGCGCCGTTAAAATATTGCGAATACCACACCAAAGACAATACTGCGACGAGATATTTTTGCGAGTTGCCGTGTTGAGATGACCCCTCGATTACCAAACAATAGACAGCTTCTCTCCGAAGCTAGTTCATCTGAGTTGGCCGGAAAGTTGACCAGAGTCATGAAACAGATTCACGCAAGATGGCTTGTTTCCTGTGTGGACAAAATTGCAAAGGACACTGACGCAATCAAGCGAGGTTGGAAGAAGGCAGGATTACTGTGAGTAACAGTGACACTAATTGGTCTGTTTACACTGTCATTTGTGATGTATTGTGTTTTCATTTGTGTTTTTAACTAATTGAGTAACTTGTGGTTCTGGTTGATTATTTCAACATTTGATGACGTGTTGCAATGAATAAAGTATGTATGTATTATTTATACTTATTTTTGCGTTTTAAATTTTTGCGATTGAGTCTCGTTCGCAAAACTCGCAATAATAAAATGGTCGCAAAAAATTCCCTGTTTACAGTAGTTGAATCATTTAAAACCTCCAAACAGATTACTGTTTAAAAAATCACAGCGATAGAGTTCAAAATGTATTACAGGACTGCTACTCGTCTGTCTCACAGACCCTGATACAAGTAATTTATATCACATACAGCCCAAGCAAGTCTATAATGTTTGGCAAATCTAGATTACTGCAGTATCTGAAAATGAAGAGGCTCCCTATTATTATATTTTTGTTAAGATAATTGAACAACTGTTTTCGTCATTAGGGTATGTTCATTTCAGAGACTAGATGTTAGTCTAGACTGTTACGTACACTTGCAAAATGTGCACTGAAGGCGAACGGCAGTGAAAACTAATTATATTCCAGGCGAGCGGCACAAGAAACTAACTGTACACGCCAGTATATACGACGAGACAAACCGTATTCAAACTCGCTCGACTTGTCTCACCAACAAGGTAGATGAACATGAAAGAGAATAGCATATGTTGATCTTACAAAGTAAGGGAACAGATTGTATGAACAACCTAATACTGACGTGTCTTGATCCGTGGTCTAGTGGATAGAGCTTCTGCCCGGAGAGAGGAAGCTCGGGGGTTCGATCCCGGCCACGTCATACCAAAAGACGTTAAAATATGGTACTTGTTGTTACCCTGTCTGGCGCCGGGCATTAACGGGATAAAACAAGGACCGGTCGGCTCGGAGTCAGTCTACTGTGTCCGAGTGGGATATCCATAACATAAGACATATTTCGCATGAGATATTTCATTGAAAGGTTACACTGACACTGTGTTGACACAAAATGATCCGCCGGTGAATGATGACGAATTCGTCATAAAAAAAGCTGAATATATCACACACACTTCAGCCAATAGTAGCGTTATATTTTCTTACTCCCATCAACTGACGCATCCTTTTTTTTACAGAAATCAGTTTAACAATTGTACTTTCAGTGAAGAGTTTCGACACGACCGTCTCTATACTCAAACCTTTCGATACAGCCTGTTTAATAAATGACACAGCTACACAAACGGTACACATAAAGGTCCACACTCCGGCGCAGTGGTGACTCAGCATAACACCACTGCCACAGGCTAATTTGCATAGCACGTGACCGGACTTTTCTCTTGTTTGTAAACAAACGCGCTTTTTCAGTCTGTTACCATCGTGTTTCGCAACCCTCTCCCACGCAGTCATTACTTACCGGTTCTGCAAGTTAAAATTATCTGATCTCATTTGTATTACCACAAAAAAGCTAGCTAGGCGATAAATAGCATAGCACAACGAAGAACGGAGCGTGTTTATTTCACATTGTTCTATAATTACGCCATTTCTGGAGATTCGAATATGTGAACGATCGCATCACAATGTGGGAGGATTATGACAATAGGTATTAGGAGGATAGTGAAAATATGCCGGAAATACCAAATTTAACCCACCTGTTAAAACAATAGACTTGTCCAACATTTCCGGAGGTCGGATTCTAATCAGAGAGTCATCATAATTAATATTAAGGTAACTATTTTTAAAGCTTGTACATTTAGCAACACCCTTACAGAGGATGTAATATAATCATGTTTATATCCTATAAAAGAGTGGGAGTTATTTATCGTACAATAAAACACTGCAGGGAGCACGAATTGCCTTCACCCTATCATGCATGAGAGAGTTACCCCATCTCACATTACATTAACACAACATCTACAACCCATGATGACACACGCCATGCGGAGTTACCCGTGAATGTGTACATTACACATCATATAACGTGTTTAAAGTAGAAGACCTGGCATGGGGTAAAACGTCCAGATGTACCGTATTCGACGTAATAAGCGCCCCGCTCTAATAAGCACCCATGGCGATATTTGCTAATATATTGGCTAGTGAACAATCCCAATGAGCACCCTTTCGATTCATCAATGTACACAAGACTTTTTGACTCGTGTATAATACGCACTCGTGTGTTATATGCAGCCTTAATTGTGGGCAATTCAATTCTGGAAAATATATCTGTCGTGTATGATACGTACATACTTTTCTTTTGTATCATGTCAGGCTGTCAGCATAAACTACGAAATTTACAATTTTTCAACTCCGTTTTTGTTTCCACCAAAATTATATTCTATATAAGAGCCTACTATTTCAAATTTTGAGAGCGCCCCGGACTCTTAATACGTCGAATACGGTAACCAGATTGTGGGTACAAGGCTACAGAGAATAGCGCTCTCAGAAGATGGTCATTGTAGATACTTAGATATGAGGAGTTGGTGAGGTGAAATAGTGTTTGACGTAGCGTTCAAGATTGTACTTGGTTGTTTGTGTCGGTCCGTCTGTCTGTCTGGGTGTCTGCTTGTGCTAGTCGAGCATAATGCCGGTTTATGGTGCCAGCCCATTGAGATACCATGTCGCAGTTTAACATGAACACCCCAATCAGAAATAGTATGCTAACGCTAACCAGTCCTTGTTTTAGCCCACTGTATGCCTAGCGCCAGGGAAGGTAACATTAGTTAGCACATTTGAGCCAACCATCATCCCACTGACGAAGGGGCGAGGTAGGATATCCATTATGTTGGCCCGCTGGATTGTAAAATGTTCAAATTGCTGAAGACATCGAAATTTACAGGTCTGAAATTTATCATGATTTGGGTTAGCCTCGTAGTTAAAGGGTTATCTCGTCAAGTCAAAGACCCAGGTTCGATTCCCCATGGGTATATTGTGTGAAGCCCATTTCTGGTGCCCCCCTCAGTAATGTTGCTGGAATATTGCTAAAAGCGACGTAAAACCTTACTCACTAACATTGTAGGTTGGGGCCTCAAATTATCAAATACATAAGGATGGCTGAAAGAAGAAGTTAGATCTCGCGAAATCCAATTGAAAATTCAACTGGATTATCCCAAACATCAGGTAGGGCAACGACTAACTCATTTTCAAATATATCAAATACAAGAAAAGTTCTTTCCGGGGATCTAAAAAAACAGACCTTTAACATATTTAAGCCTAAGCCATGCATCTCGTTGTTGGAAGTATTAGACACGCAGTTGTTGAAAAGAGCAAAGGTTACTACTCACTCATTGGACACTTATCTTGTGTAATGATTTGTTAAGGCTCTCGTCATTCCTTATTTGCATATTCCAGGGCCCCAAAATGTCTTCTGTCGTATACTTTACTTGATCGATCATGACATTTTCAAAATGGGAAACAAATGCAACAACTCTACAATTGCAACTAACTATAAGACGTCAACGCCTGAGAATAACGGTCTCCAGAGTTACAGATAAGCTGCGTATTTGCGTGAAATACCCCCCAAAACTATTCAAAACCCAATTACAGTAGATTGCGGGTATAACGAACTTACTTTTTAGTCCCGACTATTTGCTGTAGTTATGCTGTATATATGCTTATAACGAACTACGGTTATAACGAACGAAAAATAGTAGTCCCTTTGAGTTCGTTATAACCGTAGTTTACTGTACTTTCGATTACCTTGGGCACAGAAACGCATGCATTAAATGGAAAACGTAATTGTTTGAAATACCCAATAAAGTTTTTCAACATGCGTACAACAGAGCTAATTTCCGAAACACAGTTACGAGCTTATTTACTTTCCGAGTCAAGCCTATATATATATATATAGTGAGAGATGCATTATATCCGAAGATTATACATAATTAATCAAACGTATTCACACGAGCTCATATTACCTGTACATAGATACAATACAAGACAGTAGCACTATTGTCATGCCCTTCACACAGTACAAAAGGTTAGATCAGATGACATAATCAAGGTAAAGCTTTAGTGTAAGTACATAAGCAGAAAATATCAGTATAACAGATTCCTAGGTCACTATATCAATACATTGTGAGATGTGATGTGAAGATATCTTCTTCATCTTGTAATTCTAACTGGACATAGGTTTCAACATCAAGCAGATCAATAAAAGTTAGAAAAAACAGTTCATTTCTTTCCTGCAGTAGAGCTTCGCAATGTAATATGACGTGATTATCATAATCAAAGGCATGCTTGTTACACCATAAACAGTCCCTGGAAGTTTTGTTCCGTGATGAAACTCTAACACAAAGCCCAAGATTAGCAATAGTGGATTCTGATGGAGATCTTTTATCAAGTCCTTGTACAGTTCGTGCGAAATAACGGTGAGTATTTTCAATGACATTAATGTTTTGACCCTTAATATCAAAGAGCAGTTCGCAGCCGTAAAAACTTGTTTTTAATATCATTCTTAACCAGATGTTTACACTGGTAGCTGGATGTAGCTCAGAACTGTTGAGTCCCACAAATTTAAGCGAATTAATACTTTGTCCTGCTTTTAGACAACAATTTTTTTTTTCAATACTTGATTTACATGCCACGTTATGTGTTAGTAGTATGCCACCATACATGACAGAGTCAGAGGTTGTTATGTTTATATACCCAGTTTGCAGTTAATATCTAACCCCTTTTAGAGAAGACAACAACACTACTTTTTGAATGGTTATACGTTAGTCGCCACTTTGAGGCATATGAATGTACTGTATCAAGTGCTTTTTGTAGCCCTCGTGGTGAGGTGCTAACAAGAGTTGTGTCGTCTGCAAGCAAAACAGTTGGAATATCTAGACCAAATACACAAATACCACTGTTTGCTTGTCTAAGGGCTGTTATAAGGTCATTAATAAAGACTAAAAAGAACAACGCAGAGAAAACTCTTCCTTGTCTGACACTTGTCTTACATGGTATATATCTGACTTTTCACCCTGATAAGTAACAAAAGCATGGCTATTTGTATAGCTATGGTGTAATAACTTCAATGTATTTCCTCTGATACCCATTTGGTGTAATTTATAAAATAGGCCGTCCTGCCATATTTTGTCGTAATCATTTTCATTGTCTCAGGAAAGCAGCATATACTGTAGAATCTCGCTGTATGTAAAATTGAATACTTTCAATAAGGGTAAAAACGGACATTATGTCTCCATGTTCTTTCCTAAAGCCGAACTGGAGCATGTCAGGGAAATCAGGATTCGTCTTTATCATTTTTAGTTCAGTGCGCTTAACAATAAGTTTTTCAAACAGCTTTCCAATGCATGAAGTTAAGGTTATACCTCTATAGTTTCGGGGATCCGATTTGTCATTCTTACCCTTGTATATAGGAATGACCATTCCTAGTCTATAATTAAAAGGAATGTATTGTAGTCTTAACATAGCATTAAACAGGGCACACATATATCTTATCAAGGAGTCGCCCCCATGAATTATATGCTCGTTTGTAACTTTATCAGGACCAGGGGACTTGTTTCTACTAAGTGTTTTTACAGTTTCATTTATTTCTACAGTGGACAATTGTCTTTCTAGTTCCTCATCATGTGCCCCTATCTCTTCGTGAATACATTCTAGGGAAGAAGGTATTTCTTTTCGAACAATATGGCTGAGCTAGATCAGAGTAATATTTTCCCCACAATCTACAAATGTCCGAGGGTGTTGTGACACTCTCTCCCTCATAGTTGAGTTTTGTTATATCTGTAGTTTGTGACCTTTGCTTTCTTACAGTTTTGTAAAAAGAATGTATACCAAGTTCAGATGATTTTCCAATATCTGTAAGGACTTCTTTCCTTTTACCTTTTTTTGGATTTGCGATAAAGGCGTCTAAAACACCTTTTTTCATTTTTTAAAGATATACGTTCGTTTGAATCTTTATCTCTCGATCTACCATTTTGAATCCAAGCTCTCCGAGGCACCCTCATACGATAGTGCGCGTTATCAAGACCATCTTGTCTCCAAAATGGTTTAAGAAATGGTTTAAACACACTTTGTGGGATACATGTGTTACCTGCATGTATAAGAATTTCATTTATGATGTCACATTGGTTTTCTAAATTTTGTGGATCTAAGGAGTGGGGATCTGGATTGCAATCATATGCATACTTAATTTATCTATCAACTGCTTGAAACATAGAAGTATTAGTCTTATTTGCTTTTTCCCACTTAGGGATAACTCGCTTAATATTTTGATCGTGGCTAGTTAGCCCTTCTTGTGATATAGAAATATGACAGGGAAAGTGATCAGATATTTCAAAAGGACAGCTTGCTATAATGTAACAGTCTGTAATGAAGTTTCGTAGCCATGACGGTACAAGAATATAGTCTTTAAGGCTTCGTGACGTGTTATCCTTTGATCTGCATGTGTATCCTGTTCCTCCGAAATGTGCCATATTTACTGCATGTAATATATGTCTATTTTCTATAACATTTCTAAGTAGCATATCCCGTGCTGTTAGATTGGCCTTACAAACATCAGCATTTAAATCACCCAAAATAAAAAATATTTCCTAACTGGCACAGATTATCATATATATCCATCAGTTCATAAAGGGCATTACAGTATACAGAGTTTAACACATTTGTAGATGGTAATCGACTGGCTATTACATAAACATCACAGTAGCCTGTTTGTGACAATTTAACAGTTATTGCATAATCCGAGCTTGTAGCTATTGGAATAACTTTCCACTTTGTGTGGGTGTTAGATAGGATAGTTAACCCATCTGACCCTCGTGCATAACTCGCATTTGGGGGTAAAGCTCTGTATGTGATAAAATTTAGGTTTTGAAATGATCTTAAACAGTCTACTTTATCAGGCGATAGCCAGTGCTCTTGTAAGGCCACAAGGGCAACTGGCAGTGATAAGGTATTACAAATATAATCTGTACCATGGAGGATCCCACGTACATTCCATGTTAATAAGGACAGAGTCATTTGAACAAATGTGAATAGAGACATGAGATTAAGCATTCTGAATATAATATCGCAACTTCTTATATTTGTGAGAGTCAGTCTGGTCATAGCCCATTCTGTATTTAGGTACATAGTCTCTACTTCTGATGTCAGGGGGCCAACCAAATAGAGTGATGAATAGACGAGTGAAAATATATTAGTTGCCCAATGAAAAATGTAATAACCCAATTAAAATAGAAACCCTAGAGAAAAAAAGCCAATTGCTCAAAAAGAGCTCTGGAGCTCTGGGTCTCCATTATCCGACGAAGGGCATAATTCCGGTGAAAATTATATGAATGGGTTCTTGAAAACCCGTGATCACAGAAGGTGATCGTGAATAAGGTAAGCATGTTTAGTCCTGACTAAATCGCAGGAAGGGTTAGGGTTATTAGGGTTATTACGCAACTGAACACTCAAAATCTCAAAATCACTCAAAATCTTCAACATAATTATTACCTCAGTTGTGTTTTTGAACACTTTTATGTTATGATGAGATAGTACAGAAACTTACCCTCCTGCTACCATGCAGCTATGTTGACCAAGAATAGAACAGAACAGTCACTGCAAGTCCACGGGCAATATAGTCATCAGTCCCAGGTGTGAACAACTCAGGATCTGGGTGTAGGCAGCAGAGCCGTTGTTTAAAATACCCAAGCAGCCACACACACATTGCATGCATGTCGCAATATAAGTGTGAAAATCCGGGGTAGAATAGGTCTTCAGCTACCCATGCTAAAACCCTTCTAAAACTGATCTTGACCCAATATGAGTTTATATATTGTCAGTAATAAGTTTAATTAATGTATTCTTTCGCATTTAATGTTTCCCGAGTTAATAATGTTTTATAACATACATATCCTCGTTAACCCAAACTCGATATATCTCGATATATCAGTTAAAACGATATGAGGGAGAGATCTCATGTCGCATTTGGCGGCCGCTTGGTTCAAACTAACGCGACAGAATGCTTGACAGTACTATGGCATCAGTTAATTGCCCCGCTTACTCGAACTATGCGGAAGTCGACAGAATATTAAAAAGTACCATGATAGTATCTGACAGTATCCGCTTGTGTCGAACTGTAGATGATCGGAGAGTATGTTTAACAGTACGAAGACATCAGCTCGTCGCTCCCCTTATTTGAAACAATGGGGACGTCGACATATGTCCGATGGTCGAAATGACTTCGAGGTTGACAAGGATTCAACCTGTATATTACAGAAACTGGATGTGTTATACTGGACTAGGAGTTATTGACCGTCCCGTGGAGAGTCAGGCCTATACGTAGTTAGGGATGCAGGTGAGGGACAAACTCCCAAATGTCCATATCCAGGAAATCCTTCGTGCACTTATTGTAAACTCAAGAAAGACTGGAGTTCAGAGCTGAATGCCCCCAATGAAGTCAAAGCCACAAAAACTTATGCTATGCCTGTCATTTCGATTTCTCTTGGTGTTGATGGACGAAACAAGAAGTTCGTGATTTTGACACCTTCACTCGGAGAATCGGGCCAGGCAAAAGATGCCACCACCGTTACTCTTCCCTCAATCGCTTATATTTACCAATTATAATGACAGGGCGTCTTTCGATGAACCTGGAGGCTCCTCGTGGTAGAATTTATCGTTCACTTTTACACATGCTTGCCGTAAAAGGCGACTATGCTTATCGTAAGAGGCGACTAACGGGTTCAGGTGGTCTGGCTCGCTGACTTGATTGATGCATGTCATCGGTCCCAATTGTGTGCATGGATGCTGATGATATTAATCACTGGATTTTCTGGTCCAGACACGATTATTTACAGACCGCCGTCATATGGCTGGAATATTGCTGAGTGCGGCTTTAAACCACTAACAAACCAAACATTTATTTGTATGATGATCCTCTTGTGAAGCATAACACAGTTTTCTTAAACGAGCCAAGGATGTGGGACATCATCTCAATGTCAATGTTGATTTTGTTGCTCTCAGCTTGGATGAAGTCGGCTGTGAAACAGAAATTTTTCTGTTTGCTGCTCAGGACCAGTCACTTCTCACTCGATACCGTCAATGTGTGATTTTGCATCAAAATGGTAATATGAGATGTTGATTATGACATTGTAATGAATCTAATGAGAATGTTCAGCACATTGGATGGCAAGCTTTGGCACACACAGAGAATCTTAATCGACATGATGGCGTGGCTGGATCCTGATATCCTTTTCGCCATGCTTGTGGTTATGACAAAGAGGTCCATCCATGCTACGACCCGGAATACGTAGAGGACGTCATGGAAAATGATAAATACAAAATCCTTTGGAATAGGCCCATATACAGCCTCAGACCTATCCAGGCCAACAAACCTGATCTTGTCCTTTCATAAGTATAATGTGATTGACAAGATTCAGGATAAACATGGCAAATATGCGGACCTCTCTTTCAAAATGTCACACTTGCATCCCAAGTACCAAGTTGTCCGACTCCCCATTGTTCTCGGCGCCTTAGGTTTGGTACCTCCCAATCTGTTGACTGACATTGGGAGAGTACCCAGGTTTGCTGCCAAGAATACAGCCCTTCTGACAATCTGGGTAATGCAGAAGGCTGCAGTGTTGGGGAGTCTTCACGCTCTCGGAAATGGTCTGAATGGGTTCAAGTAGGCAGCGCGTCCTGGGTTTTGTTTGTTTGTTTGTTTGTTGTTTAATGCCGCACTCAGCAATATTCCAGCTATATGCCGGCTGTCTGTCACTAATCGAGTCTGGACCAGACAATCCAGCGCTTGACATCACGAGCATCGATCAACGCAATTGGGATACGATGACATGCATCAACCAAGTCAGCGAGCCTGACCACCCGATCCCGTTAGTCGCCTTTTACGACAAGCACAGTCACCTTTTACGGCAAGTATGGGTTGCTGAAGACCTATTCTACCCTGGATCTTCACGGATGCTTCCTGGGAGAAGTCTTACACGCTGTCTGGGCTGCGCGTGGAGGGAGTAAGGACCCGGAGCTGATGATGAGTCTAACCAGCATGACTGTGCCATTGTTTTTATTTAAATCTGTACAGAATAGTAGAAGTAATAGTAGTAGTAGTAATACTAGTAGTGGTGTAGTAGTGATGGTAGTAGTAGTTGGTGGTTCTAGTGGTGTTGGCCACATCAAAGCCATTGCATCAGGTTCGCGTGATGTCCTGCGCCGTGAGAGTTATGTTCTGAAGCGAAAACAGAATAGGGGTGTGATATTTCATCTGTCTGTGACTACCGCCAGACAACTGACAACGTTACTATCCAGAAACAAAGATGTAATAAGAAACAGTCGGTTACGGGAGAAGACTGGAAACAGCGATTGGCTCTGTGACATAATCTGCTCGTCACGCCGAAGACCCGGGTTCGATTCCCAACATGGGTACAATGTGTGAAGCCCATTTCTGGTGTCCCCCGCCGTGATATTGCTGGAATATTGCTAAAAGCGGCGTAAAACCATACTCACTCACTCACTCACTGTGACATAATCTAATCCTCTATATTAGATACCTCCGAGCGAATCTACACCAACCTTTCCGAGACTTAGGACGAAGTGCCCGCCATCGATGTCCCGGTACAGTAGGCCGAAGGATGCATCAACAGACATGTACAGCATAGTCGTTGACAAGAAGGGAGAGGCGTGCTGGTACATGTACGACCATCTGGCTTTAATGGAGTACTTTGTGGTTATTATCTAAACATAAAGCACAATTCCGTGACATTTCATTGGCGGCCCAAGCAATTTCTTTGGCATTATTGTTTCCATAAATAGAAGCAAAATATTAGGCCACGCCCACTAAAAACCTGCTGTACCCTGATTGGTCGGGGCGTGCGTTCCATTATTACACGGATTTCGTACTTTTGTCTACAATTGTTTTGTATGTTTATCACAATATTATTTAACAATATTTTGTCCAGGTACCAAAGTTCGATGCGCAGAGTTGCGTCCCCTAGCTAGGGTAAGTAATTCCCCTCGATTATAAAACGCGGGGTGGTCGGCTCTATACATGCGCTCGTTGTTTTAACAAACGTATCAATGTTTACAGAGTGAGCCACTTTGGGCTTTTGTCCTATCTTCTAGATTGGTGTTCAGAATTAAAGATTACCTGAAACTGGGTTACGACTATTGATGCAAATCTTGGACGTATTCCCCTTTGGAGAAAACATTGCCATAGGGCTGAGCGTGGGATAGGAGTTTACCTGAAGTGGAACTGCACATCAAATATGGCTATTTTTACGCCAAAACAATCATCTTTTCACTTTGCTGATTTTAAGGTTTATTTCATTCTGATTGGTTACAGAAGTGGGTAAACCACTCCGCGCGTCACCATGTACCTGAATATTAGTGATCTGCATAGGGGAGATGTTGCCGTGTCGGTAGACCGTCCTCACCAAGGCCTGTTTGAACCCATTAGGATCCGCCATCACTGCAGCGGCGTGGTCGACTGGAGACACAGGCACAAGTATACTCAGGAGAAGATATAACGGAACAGGAACGGGATGAGTGAGTGAGTGAGTGAGTGAGTGAGTGAGGGATGTCGGGAAATGAATCACCGTATTGAAGCAACGCTTGCATCAACAACTGCGCTATCTCACCTATCTCGCTATTAGTGTGTGTCCAACTGTTTCATTTTATGAGTGAGTGAGTGAGTGAGTGAGTGAGTGAGTGAGTGAGTGAGTGAGTGAGTGAGTGAGTGAGTGAGTGAGTGAGTGAGTGAGTAAGTGACTGGGTGACTGAGTGAGTGAGTGAGTTTTAGTTTAACATTAAAACTATCATTTAAGAACGGCGAATAGAATCAACGTAGCTATCAAAGTAAGGTCACCAGACTAGGAACCATGGGGACCTCTGTCACCTGCACAGTCCCCGGCAGGCCTTTCCCCTTTATTTCCTGGCGATAGTTTGCAAGCTAGGCCGAAAATGTAAAATGATAAACATACAACATTTAAACGTCTTGCATGGAGACACACACACACACACACACACACACACACACACACACACACACACACACACACATTCACTTACTCACTAAATGACAGACACTAACGACCTCAGTTACTTATCACTAAAACATTCCCAGCTGGAAAAGTGTGCAGGACTTCTGCCCAGGGTTTGTAAACAGCTAGTATGACGTTACGGTACACAGTACATCTTCTCGAACCCATTCATGCGACCATTTCGTCTACATGGTTAGTAAATAGTTAAGCTATGTAAAGTGAGTATTGTTCTTTGAGCAATATTTCAGCAAAATCACGGCGGGGGACACCAGACATGGGCTTCACACACGGTACCCATGTTGGAGTAGAACCCGGGTCTTCGGCGTGACGAGCGAACACCTTGACCATGTAGTTACTCAACCGCCCCGGGTATGGATAGAACCCCCTACCTGGGAAGTAGATTGCAAAGTCGTGTCTCTGCGACGGTACAAAACATGCACTCAGGTCTGTCCTCCATATGTCGTGCCGGCCTTCACTGTAGTCGTAGTAATTGTAGATTGTTTTGTTTCGAGTCTGAAATGAAAGCGAAGTGAAGATCTCCGATGTCGAGATGCGTAAATGTGTTCTTAAGCAGATATACAAACACCAAACACCGAACAATAGCCAATAGATATTACAATTACCGTATTTTCCGAAATTCCGCGCAAGCCGTTGATTGATTGTTTGTTGTTTAACAAACACTGAGCACTATTAACCAATATATTCATTTGTTGTTACACAAGTGGGCCTGATTCACTATTACCTCAAGTGACGTCACCTCCTTTCTAACTGGGAAACCGGAAATGGAATTGAAACCTGCGTTCTCTTCCCATCCACGCTGCAAACACAAATATATGACAATTAGAAAAGTGCAATATTCTAACGTTAGTCAAGCAATAAACGGTCTCGTTTGGTCTACTTGTCGGTTACCTGGACGTGTATTCAATCGTGATCTACTACGTTCCAGTTCAGACAAAAATAATATTATTCGCCTCGAGAAACTAAAACCACGTGTATCCATTGGAAAACATATACTACTTATTAAACTGCAAAAAAACAAATTGCAGATTCGTCGTTGAAAGAAAGATCAAGGAACTTACTCAACGCTCATGCTTTAAGTAACATATTAAACATAAGTTAAAGACTTTCGATAAATTATCATGCGATGATCGAGAGTACCTTTCATCAATAATATGCAAATCTGATATCAACTACATGCAATATGCATTACAGAATGTTGGAATTAAGTAATTAAGTGCCCTATGCTGTGATGGTATATTCAATTTTACGGAGAGACTTAGGCGTTAGGTCAAATTAGGTATTCGTTATGTTGTACATTCACCGCAAGCTGCATGCCAATTGAACATTATATACGCGGGCAATATTATTTAGGCAAACCAATCACAGCGCCCTTGTCACTGCTTGTTGTTGGTAGACGGGACTTTGGTGGCCTCCCACATGATGTTAACAGGCGACAAAGAAAACCACAAGAAGCCCTTGACATCAGGAGACACCAGCCAGCCATGAACAGAGACTGGGAACCTTTCTGCCTATTGCGTATTCCTTTGATCCTCGTGCCAATCATCCAGCTCGCTTCCATTGCCCCTTCCATTCCTCCACATGTCACTGGTAAATTCCCGGCCTACCGTTTGCCCATTGTCCATTCTATTACCTATCTATGATAACTTAAGTTCTGGCCTCCATACTATCAGCGCTTATTACTGTAAAGTGTTGGCCTCTATTATCTATTGCCAGTCACCTATCAGCGCCAATCATCTGTTGGCTTCCCCTGTTATTCCCCCACTCGACCTTTTGTTATCTGATTAATTGTGTACATATACACGCTCTCTGCCTCATGGCATTCTTTCACCTGATACGCATATACTCCCAAACGTTCTGCTCTTCATACTAAAGACGTTGACATCCATACATTCTCTGCCTAATGTGTACAATTTCTAAACGCCTTTCAAACGCCGGATGAGAATCGTTCTTCAACCACCCTGCGACTAACGGGATATGGTGCACGTGGTAATGCTCGACGATTCATTCATTCATTCATTCATTCATTCATTCATTCATTCATTCATTCATTCATTCATTCATTCATTCATTCATTCATTCATTCATTCATTCATTCATTCATTCATTCATTCATTCATTCATTCATTCATTCATTCATTCATTCATTCATTCATTCATTCATTCATTCATTCATTCATTCATTCATTCATTCATTCATTCATTCATTCATTCATTCATTCATTCATTCATTCATTCATTCATTCATTCATTCATTCATTCATTCATTCATTCATTCATTCATTCATTCATTCATTCATTCATTCATTCATTCATTCATTCATTCATTCATTCATTCATTCATTCATTCATTCATTCATCAACCAAGTCAGCGAGCGGCCAAAACTACCCTGTCCTCTGAAAAACATTGATGAGTGTTTTGGTTTGGGAGTTACGGGAAGGCAAACAGTAGATTGTAATTGCAAGTAAACGTATTTCACTGAATCAAAACCGATTTGTTTGTTTGTTTGTTATTTAACGTCGCACTCAGCAATATTCCAGCTATATGGCGGCGGTCTGTAAACAATCAAGTCGGGACCAGACAATCCAGTGACTGACATTATGAGCATCGATCCACACAATTGGGATACGATGACATGCATCAACAAAGGCGACTGTTCAGTTCTTGACGCATACGTGCATCCCGCATGTGACTCATGGAACCTGTCAAATGACTCTGACAAAGAGGTAGAGACTGGAGTCCGTCTTACCGCAGCCATGTATAGTTCTGTGACGGAGTTAGGTTTAACATCATTAGGCAGCAAGGCATTGAACACGTCGCATCTGATACCACGTGACATCCTCTGAAGGAGAACACACGTGGCAAATCAAGACAGGTATATGTCACATAGTTAACATTACGTTTCTTCGAGATATTGTGAATTGGTTTATTGCTGGTCCCTGTTCGTAGCTTCATTTCAATTATTAACATTGTTTTGTATATATATATATATTCTTTAATAAGATAACTTTATTTCTGGGTCAAACCAGGTTTAACGCTTCGTGGTATAATATTTCAATTATTTCACGGCGTGTCAGCCATTCTCGGTGAAGCCACAGTCACGGGTATCGTGCTGACGAACATAGAAGCATTTCAACGACGACGAATGTTCTGCTAATGTTCGCCCGACACGCCGAAGGGTCGGGCTCTATTCACCCTATGCGTACAGTATGTGAAGCCAATTTCCGCCAATTTCCGCCGTGATATTGCTGGAATATTGCAAAACGCGGTGTGGAGTCAAACTCACTCACTCACTCTGAAGGACAGGGGTTATGGGAGAGGGATTAGGTTGACGCACCTGCCCCACATAAGTGAAGGCATCTTGTCGGTACAGGTCTGCTTCTGGCTGATCAGAAATGCCATTGTACTTGTTGGTGACCTGTGTTACCGTACAGTTTCCAAGCTCCGTGTCGACGGTGTACGTCCATGCTGTCACAGATAGAAAAGGCAATGCCTGTCAAGTGGGCTCGTCACAATGTATTTATTGCATATGTCCCCATTCTTAAAAGAAAATGAGTGTTTAATTCTAGTTATCATTTCAACCTAACTTTTCCCAATATTTATGAATAGTATAGAACGGGTCGCCAGAAGGCCATTTTGGTTGATCCGGTTCATCCAGGCGAATCCGAAGTTGATTGGCTGATCCAAGTCACGTGATCAGATAGGATGACTCATGCATCAACAGCGTGTCACAGGTGAGGGGGAATGAAAGGTGTGTGTTTATAAGGCCGAAAAGAATTCATAAGAAAACAAAAGTAAAGGGTTATGAATAGAGCTAAATGTATAGCGTGCTGCTCTGAATAGACACACCGTACCCGTCAGCCCAGTTTGAATTGAGCGCGCTTGACAACTCACGTGGTCGTTTCAAATAACCCGCGCTCGCTAGAGCGTGCGACCTGGTTTGATGAATACAGGGTGTGTGTTGAAAGTACATCATACCACAATAGAGTCGGGTTTTGTCAACATGATATACGCCGGGTAATGTAGGAATAAAAAATGTACGTCTAGCTGGATCAAATTCATCTTGTACGGTCTACAAGTTGTACACCATGAACGTTAGACAACCTGTATAGAAACAAAAAAATATAGACAAAATAGATAAGACTACACAATCAGCAAGCTAGCGGTGTAGTTTACATTTAGCGCGCAACAACAGCTAATGTATAGCAGAGAGACTAAGCGACCGACCGCCCATAACAATGTCAACATACCCCGGCCTTACAATTAATGTTAACATAACAGCCTCGCCTAGGAAACTTCCCATTCATAAATTGTGTGACCAGTGTCCCGTATTTATGATATGTTAAGGAAGATGTGTTGTACATTTGTTATTTTAAAAGGGAGTTATTTCAGAGAGGATATATATATGGGTATTCCCCTCATTAAACCTTTCTTTCGTTGGTGTCTATTAAACGTATCCGGTATTTAATACATATGAATGATGTAGGAAAGTATGTGCGTGTGGAATGCACTCGTCCTTGTAAGGGTAAAATACGCGTTTAAACTCACCATTTAAAGGATGACATTACTTTTTAGATGTATTGGTATCAGTGAGTGAGTGAATTTAGTTTTACGCCACACTTGGCATTATTCCAGCTCTAGGACGGTGGTCTGTCAATAAACGAGCTTGGACCAGACAATCCAGTGATCAACAGCATGAGCAGCGATCTGTGCAACTAGGAACCGATGGCACGTGTCATCCGAGTCGGCGAGACTGACCAATGGATCCCCGTCATTCGCCGATAAGCATGGGTTACTGAAGGTCGATTCTATAACCCGGGAACTTCAACACAGTCGTCAATGAGGCTACTCCATCTGACTTGGGAAACCTTAGATGTTTGTGCAGAAAACACGTTTAACAGTTTCCAACGTATCATATCCTTTGAGAGATAGTTTGCTCTGAACAGTGCCTCGAGGTAGATCACATGAAAAGATAGCCCTCTCCATTATCGTGAAACAAGGCTCAAACCCTCAAGGTGAAACCAGTGTCATGGTTGATGTTAATAAGGCTTTTGAGTACTTCAATCGGTTTCGAAATCTGACATCTAATTGACTCAATAAACCAAGCCTTCATTATAAACCACGCCTTCATTATTAGATTGGAAGGTCAAAGTTCGCTCATGGCTCATCTAACACGAATTGTCAGATCTTTACCCAGAGAACAATTTTTTCTAAACTGATGTTTTTGAGGTTGTACACAGCGTCCCTCCATTACGTAGCGTCACTCACTATATTTGTTTGCTGAAAGAAGCATTTCCACCTGTCGATATAAATACCTGTATTAAAGTCGCGGATATATATCAGCTGGTTGTATGGGTGCTGTGACGGGTGTGTGACGTCAGGCGTGTAGTCGACCCTCATCAGATGCAGGTCACCGTCGTAGGAGAACTGAAACACCACGACGAGTGAGTGAGTGAGTGAGTGAGTGAGTGAGTGAGTGAGTGAGTGAGTGAGTGAGTGAGTGAGTGAGTGAGTGGGTGGGTGGGTGTGGGTGGGTGGGTGAATGAGTGAGTGAGTGAGTGAGTGAGTGAGTGGGTGAGTGGGTGAGTGGGTGAGTGAGTGGGTGAGTGGGTGAGTGAGTGGGTGAGTGGGTGGGTGGGTGGGTGGGTGAGGTATTACTAAAGATTGTGAGGATTGCGATATCACGTTAGGTGGCTATATTATTACGTAAACATAAAGACAACGTCAAATATTATGCATGTGATATGATAATGTGAAAAACAAACAAGACAATATTACAAATGTGAATTTTAAAACTGTACAGCATAAAAGTCTTCATATCAACATGTTCTGAAAAGTGTAAAATGTTCCATAGAGAAGAATGTCATCTTATCGCACACTCATCTCTGTCATAATCAATGCAGAAGCAGGGATGATGGATCTGATAATGAAGTCATTAAACGAAAGTTACCCTTAACCATCATCGAAGCACATACTGACAACTTGGTAGAAGGCATGCACAAATTCCCCTACTATAGTATATACCTCAAACACAAAATGTAGGCACACAAAAAAACTTTATTATGACTTATAAGATTCCTTAAACAGGTTAAATGGGTATCAAGTTGAATTTTCTGGCATTTTGAAGAAGAATTCATCAATTTCTAAAAGTTCAACTTGTTGCCCTGGATTTTTTAATTTTTTTTTTATAAATTTCTAAAATTTCTAAATAGCAAAAGGCACCAGTTCAGCATGTACCTGACAGACCTGCAAAGTTTCATGAAAAAATATTGAACGGTTTATGAGTTATGCTCCGGAAACGAACCCTACTCTCACAGAACCTAAGTCCATCTTGTTGCCATGGAAACGTAAAAAAAATGAAAAAATCTTAAATTTATAAATAGCAAAAGGCACCAGTTCAGCATGTACCTGACAGACCTGCAAAGTTTCATGAGAAAATATTGAACGGTTTCTGAGTTATGCTCCGGAAACGAAACGTGAGGGACGGACGGACGGAGCCTGTTTCTATATCCCCCGCCAACTTCGCTTAAATGCACATATACAAATATCGGATTTGTATGACAAATCCTTCCACAAGTAATATTCTGGTTATGCTTTCTTAGACTGTCTCAATTACTCTTTACCAGATGAAGACACCAGGAACTTACCCGCCTCCAGTGCACGGCTTGGCGAGAAGGCAGGACTATTTCACTCGCCACTGAGAATGAACTTGGAACCGCAGGGAGGTTGCGTGTCGTAGCTCTGTCGTAACAATACGTGCCTGAGGGCGTCTGAAGCCATCAATGTGATTATTGTCAGGGCTTCAGCAGGTCACATTACGTGTGGGGAAGCAGTATATATGGTAGGGATGTCACATTAAGTGTGGGGAAGCAGTATATATGGTAGGGATGTCACATTACGTGTGGGGAAGCAGTATATATGGTAGGGATGTCACATTAAGTGTGGGGAAGCAGTATATATGGTAGGGATGTCACATTAAGTGTGGGGAAGCAGTATATATGGTAGGGATGTCACATAACGTGTGGGGAAGCAGTATATATGGTAGGGATGTCACATTAAGTGTGGGGAAGCAGTATATATGGTAGAGATGTCACATAACGTGTGGGGAAGCAGTATATATGGTAGGGATGTCACATTACGTGTGGGGAAGCAGTATATATGGTAGAGATGTCACATTAAGTGTGGGGAAGCAGTACATATGGAAGAGATGTCACATTACGTGTGGGGAGGCAGTACATATGGTAGAGATGTCACACAAAGTGTGGGGAAGCAGTACATATGGTAGAGATGTCACACAAAGTGTGGGGAAGCAGTACATATGGAAGAGATGTCACATTACGTGTGGGGAGGCAGTACATATGGTAGAGATGTCACACAAAGTGTGGGGAAGCAGTACATATGGTAGAGATGTCACACAAAGTGTGGGGAAGCAGTACATATGGAAGAGATGTCACATTACGTGTGGGGAGGCAGTACATATGGTAGAGATGTCACACAAAGTGTGGGGAAGCAGTACATATGGTAGGGATGTCACATTACGTATGGGGAAGCAGTACATATGGTAGAGATGTCACATAAAGTGTGGGGAAGCAGTATATATGGTAGAGATGTCACACAAAGTGTGGGGAAGCAGTACATATGGTAGAGATGTCACATTAAGTGTGGGGAGGCAGTACATATGGTAGAGATGTAACATAACGTGTGGGGAAGCAGTACATATGGTAGAGATATCACATTAAGTGTGGGGAAGCAGTACATATGGTAGATATGTCACATTAAGTGTGGGGAGGCAGTACATATGGTAGAGATGTCACATTACGTGTGGGGAAGCAGTACATATGGTAGAGATGTCACATTAAGTGTGGGGAAGCAGTACATATGGTAGAGATGTCACATTAAGTGTGGGGAAGCAGTACATATGGTAGGGATGTCACATTAAGTGCGGGGAAGCAGTACATATGGTAGAGATGTCACATTAAGTGTGGGGAAGCAGTACATATGGTAGGGATGTCACATTAAGTGCGGGGAAGCAGTACATATGGTAGAGATGTAACATTAAGTGTGGGGAAGCAGTACATATGGTAGGGATGTCACATTAAGTGCGGGGAAGCAGTACATATGGTAGAGATGTAACATTAAGTGCGGGGAAGCAGTACATATGGTAGAGATGTAACATTAAGTGCGGGGAGGCAGTACATATGGTAGAGATGTAACAGTCCTCCTGAAGAAGCCCCCATGTTCTCGCACACATTACATCGCACATAGATACCAAACGGTCGATCCGTTACAGATGAACAGATTCGTTATTCCTCTTATAACCAGAACTTCAGAAATCGTATAGGAAGGAGACAGAATGCACCACACGATGCCTCATAGTTGCATCAGAACATCGAGAATTTACAAGTAACAATGACAGAAATACACATGTGTATCTCTTCAGGTGCAGTTATGAATTATGTTCGCTTGTCTGCGTGTTGTGCAACGCGTCAGCCAGTAATATTTCAGTATATCACGGCGGCCTCGGGTCTCACCTCTGGACCAAAACAGGTGGTTGATATCATGAACCAATTACCATCCGTCGTAGTGCGGCGGCACGCAACCAAGTCACCGACTCTAAATCTCTCTTTCGACATTCGACCGCCTCCGTGGTCTTGTGGTAGAGCGTCCGCCCGGAGAGCGGAAGGTCCGGGGTTCGATCCCCAGCCGCATCATACCAAAAGACGTTAAAAAATGGTACTTGTTGTTACCCTGTCTGGCGCTCGGCATTAAGGGGCTAAAACAAGGATTGGTCGGCTCGGAGTAAGTATACTGTGTCTGAGTGGGGTATTCATGTTAAACTGCGGCATGGTATCTCAGTGAGCAAGCACTATAAATCGGCATCAGTCCGGACTAGTACAAGCGGCCACACAAACACACACACGTACATGCACGTCGCTATATAAGTGCAATAATCTTGGACGCGACGTTAAACCCCATTTCACCTCACCTCTTTCGACATTCAAAGCAGATTCGACATTCAAAGTGATTTGAGTGCTCACGCACTGGTAATAAAACCCCTTATTTTCAGGGTAATTTAGGGAGCGCAGAGTTGCGTCCCCCAAGCGATCAAGGATCAGTTGATCGTGAAATCGTTTTCCAGCCTGGGTCTCTTCGACTTGCGTCAGTTTAATCCCAGACCAGGCTGACACGCCGTGATGTTAATCATGCAATATTGGTCAAAGCGACGTTTTATCCAACTTACTCAACCATGTATTGCTAAAATTCGGGTTAGAATCGGTCTTTAGAACTGATGCTAGTCGTAAGAGGCGACTGACGGGTTCTGGTGGTCAGACTCGCTGATTTATTGATGCATATCATCGTATCCCAATTGCTCTTAATGTCATTGACAGGATTGTCTGGTCCAGACTCAACTATCTACAGGCCGGCGTTAAAAACAAACAAACAGAAATGATTACTTCAGCAATCGCCCAGATCATACAGTGCAACAACGCCTTTCCATCAGCTGCAGCTCACCGTGAACACGTCGACAGGGAGTGTGGTTTGGAAGTCGGAGAAGATGAACTCCCTATTGATGCGAGATGTGTAAGTGGAGTTGACATGGACGGCGCCCTTTACACTGGCCTTGACGGGCACGACGACGTTGTCTGCGGATATCCAGCCAGTGGAGGCACCTGTGTGAGGCAGCACATTCATTGGGTGAGTGAATGTTTGTTTGTTTTTTGGTTTGTTGTTAACTTGTTGACTTGGTTGATGAATGTCATCGTATCCCAATTGCGTGTATCGATGTTCATGATATCAATCACTGGATTGTCGGGACCAGACTCGATTATTTACAGACCGCCGTCTTATAGCTGGAATATTGCTCAGTGCGGCGTTAAACAAACAAACCAACCAACCAACAAACAAACATGTTAAACACTAACTATTTTGTCGCAACTGACACAACTCGTTGACTCAACCACAAGCAGACATAGTAACTTACTGAACTGCCACACAATCAGCAGGGTGGTGTCTGTGTCGGGCTTGTAGGAACAGGATTTCCACGAATCTACTGTTATCCCGTCTTGGCTTACAATCTGCCCGAGCGGCACTTCCGGTACACCCTCACCAAATCGCAGAGCCCGACTGGCGGAAAATATATGCTCCGTGCCATTGGCGTACTTTGTCATCCCAAATATGCTGTTGTCGGTGCTCTTGGCCAAGTCGTTGACGTGACAGCGTGGTGGGGAGTCTGAAGAGAACATTTAGAGCAAGAACCGGGAAAAGGCACTGTAAGGGGCGGACCATTTGAACATCCAAAATGGAGGGATTGGCTGGGGTTTGTGTTAAGTCAACTATTGGAAGGCATGATGCCTCATTTGTTCACTGACTGATAATCTGTGGGTCTCTCCCAAAATATTCCACTTAAGAACGTACAGAAGTGAAACGGATGCTTGCAATCAGCCCCCAGTACTTTACCTCCCCACCTGGGTAGTCGGTCCCGGCACACGTTGTCATCATGGCCTTGTTAACTTCTGGTCTGAAGTTTCAGTCATCTGGTAATAATTCCTAGAGCAACTTTCCACAGATGCAGGTCCTACTGATATGTGGATTTAATTTATTGTTTCCACGCCGCCTGACGTCATATCAATATATCAATGCCGTCAGATGATAATGCCATTCCTGATGCTGAACACGAGAATGACTGATACCTCCCTTCGCTCACAAGACGCCGAGCTATGCATGTTATTACACTACAGGTAAAATGGGGTTTAACGTCGCGTTCAAGATTATTGCACTTATATGCCGACCTGCATTAGCATGTGCGTGTGTGCGTGTGTGCGTGTGTGCGTGTGTACGTGTGGCTGCTAGTACTAGTTCGGACAAATGCCGATTTTATTCTGCTAGCTCTCTGAGTTACCCTGGGTGAATATTCCAATTAGAGACAGCATACTGACTCTGAGCTGACATGCCTTTTTCTTCCCGTCGTAAGTCATGACTTAATTCCGCTCTCCTTACAGCATTCGAGCTAAACATTATAGAGCATTACAGATTTAAAATCCTTGACACGTCTTTTCAAACTATATTGAAAACTATGTTTAAAACTGGGTGAATATTCCAATTAGAGACAGCGTACTGACTCTGAGCTGACATGCCTTTTTCTTCTCCCCCCACGCCCCCCAGTCGTATGTCATGACTTCCGCTCTCCTTACAGCACTCGAGCTAAACATTATAGAGGGTTACAGATTTCAAATCCTTGCCATGTCTTTTCAAACTATATTAAAAACTATGTTTAGAACTATATTAGACACAAACCTCCCCCGTTGTCCTGCAGGACGATCAACTCATTGGTGTCATACAGGAAGATCAGCTTGGTCTGTACGCCCTCCACCCACTGTATGACGGCGCCCCGGTTGCCAACATCGTCGTAGTACTCCTGCATGTCCATGCTGTAGTTGCTGTCCAGGAAGTTGGCCTCGATTCTTACACTCCATTGGCGAGGCAGGTCCGGCTTCTTGGGCCCTTGGCATACAAGTTACATGATGGTGGGAGTGTGTACATCATGGAAGAATACCCACATCTACATGTCCGTAGAAACACTCAAGGAATGCCAAAACGTATCCGGCTGGTATGAATAGCGGAAGAGCGCCTACCATACTCGATTTGTAGAAATAGTGGAGGGACATCAAAACCTACCACGGTCAAAGAAATAGTGGAAGAACGCAGACCCTGCTCCATTTGTAGAAATAGCACGGGAACTCCCAAACCTACCGGGGTCGTTGAAACAGTGGAGGAATATACATTCTACTCGGTTCGTCAAAATAGCACGGGAACTTCCACACCTACACCGTTCGTAAAACTAGTTGTGGAACGGCCACCATACTCGCTTTGTAGAAATAGCAGAGTATCGCCTAAACCTACAGTGTTCGTTAAAAGAACCGTAGCGCGCCCATGCGTACCATGTAAGTAGAAATGGTGTAGGGACGCCCCAACGTACCGTGTGCGTATAAATAGTGTAGATACGCCCCAACCTACCATGTACGTATACATAGTGTAGGAACGCCCCAAAGTATCATATTCGTATAAATAGTGTAGGAACGCCCCAACCTACCATGTTCGTATAAATAGTGTAGGAACGCCCCAACATACCATGTTCGTATAAATAGTGTAGGAACGCCCCAAAGTATCATGTTCGTATAAAAAGTGTAGGAACGCCCCAACGTACCATGTTCGTAGAAATAGTGTAGATACGCCCTAACCTACCATGTTCATGGAAATAATGGAGGAAAGCTCACCCTACTCACTTCATAGAAATATACAATTAATTAGTCACGTGTGTCATGTTAACACCAGCTCCGTAGGTTTCAATCACCCACTTCAAAAGAAAACATGAGTTAATGGGTTTATCGTGTCTGAAGACGCGCAAGTCTAAATATGGCCTTTCACTGCATGTGAAAAGAATTCACTGTAATCAGTAATAGCAATCACAGATGGCTTCCGGGAAGAATACATATGACCAACATGTCTTCATGTTTGACTTATGGGCAATTTGAAAGGCAGAGACAGGGTAAAATGAGCTGTTGTCAAGGTACAACTACCACCAGTCAGTCTATTTAGAAAACCAACAACTTGGAGAGTGCTAAACCAACTACCATCAATTCGTTCAGTTTTTGTTTTGTTAATATCTCAGAATAAATTCCTCACACAAAAGTTATACATTGCAACAATTCTAAAATAGCCTTAAAAATGCTCCAGGCTGAAAGGCACTTATTTTTTTCACTTGTAGCTGTCGCACCAAATGACATCAACAGTAAAGTAAAAGAAAATGTTATTGGGTGTTACCCTCAGTGAAGTATACTGACGGAGACTCCACTCCACTCCTTACCGAGTCGTGTTCCAGCCTGTTTTATGAAGTCGGTAATTTTGCAAACACTGTCATCCGGTCCAACATTTGCAGCGGCGACCGTGGCACACAGAAAAATACACACGGCTTGCAGCACCATCATGCGCTCCTGAAACATGGAGCGATATTTATGTACAGAAACACATGCCAGCCTGTGTGTCTGCCTTGCCGACTGTCTGATGGGTTGCTGAACACCCGGATCTTCACGGACAAGCATGAGTTGCTGAAGACCACTTCTAACGCGGATCTTCACGGACAGGCGTGAGTTGCTGGAGACCAATTCTAACCCGGATCTTCACGGACAAGCATGAGTTGCCGAAGACCAAGTCTAACCCGGATCTTCCCGGAGAACGATACAAATGTGACAGGCGTGGGTTAGTTAAGTGGGCTTTGACTTTGATTTCATTGAGCCATTCATAGCTGTTCCTACTTGCGTGGATCCAAGTGTGGTTGGGTTTGTAAATGGGTATCAATGCTGTTGATTTATTAGATGCTTATGAATTCAGTATCATCGCTAAATCATTCGTACCCAGCACCCGCGGATCCTGACAACCCGCGTGACGGAGGCAATCTGTACATGTGCACTCTACCATCTCGTCAATGTGGCTGAAGGGTTGTCGCCTGAACTTGGATGCTCTAGGTCATTCTCAAACATCAGTTATATTTATCAGAAAATAAGGGAAGTGTTTGGTAGCCTAGTTACCACTTTGTGATATATCTTAGAATCTCAGGGGCGGTCGGGTAGCCTAGTGGTTAAAGCGTTCTCTCGTCACGCCGAAGACCCGGGTTCGATTCCCGACATGGGTACAATGAGTGAAGCCCATTTCTGGTGTCCCCCGCCGTGAAATTGCTGGAATATTGCTAAAAGCGGCGTAAAACCATACTCACTCACTCACTCACTCACTCACTCACTTAGAATCGGAAATTGGAAAACTTAGCATAAAACTTAAGTTTATTATTCATAACAGTACTGATATTTGTGATAAAAAGCTGAACGTGAAGAGAACGGCTGTTGAAAATCGAAAGTGTGTTGATAATCTATGGTATGGTGACGGCCAAAATGCAAGACTTATGATGGGCGCCAATGTAGCGGCCATAAAATTTCCGAGTCCCGTGATGGGATTCGAACTACAGACCTTCTGATCCGAGGTCGGACGCCGTGTCCACATGACCAAAGAGGTTAACCCCGTCAGCAAGCTGTCAAGGTAATGATCATCTGTGGGATGACTCCACGCCCTGCTACATAAATAACGTCATCAGACAGCTGTAGCAACATTCTGTGTCGTGTTAGTTCCACAGTGCATCAATTTGTGTGGTCAAAGGGAAATAATCCAATAACATGTTAAAATTCTACATATTATTTCCTTGTTTGTTGTCACTCACCTTTCGGCTGTATATCACAGTGATAAAGGACTCCTCGCTTATCCGAATAGTTCCTAGTGTAGCCGATGAAGTAACAATGATTTAACTATGATTAACGAATCAACGTAATATACTTCAATGTAAGTGGCGTGCCTATAACTGAACGTCCGGAATGTGGGGTTTCCGCTGTAACGAGGTCCTGACTACTCAGCCTTCAGAAGGAAATGAGACGTTTATATGTAGACTATAGCTGAAGTATACCCCGTCACCCCGTACAAGAAGTACACTTGGTTGACTGATAACACCACTTGACTGTTGACATGTCTGTGTAGTGTTATCACAGATAACAACAATAGGCGCCCGGGTTTAGAGACAAGCGACGTATGTGGTCATTTAACACTGCTTGTGAGAATACATAAACATAGCTTCTTAAAACAATAGAAATCATGTGTGTGTCCAATGTCGCCAATCATATACGAATACATTAGATGTGATTCCGTAGCTTTTGACTGGCTCACAAAACAATGGTTTTGCGTTTTTCTCCAAAACCGAAAAGAATATTGGGCACGGTCGCTACGGACTATTTATTTCTGATTAGCTGATACGCACCTCCAGTGAACACATTCTCATATTCGCTAATTCTACAGAAAATGGCAAAATGACTAAATCGTGTTATTCCCTTGTATTTTTAGGAAAATAGTTTGTACATCTGTGTTTCAACACTACCAATAGGATGTATTACATCATATCAACACATTTTCCTCTTGATTCCGTTTCTCAATTTAGATGTTATTAGTTCAAAGTTTGTTTTGACATTAGCTATTGAGTACATAATCACGTTCTATGCCAGCAAACATTGAATAACCAGATTGCACTTTCAGCAATACCAATGCAAAGATTACTTACTAATTAAGATTTATGGTAATGACGTTTGATGGGGAGTTCTGTCATTCAATATGTTTATAAATTTGTCTCCTGCATTCTTTGCTGATGAGTATTATTATAAACGTTATTTAACATAGGTTTCAATAATTATGCCCAAACAAATGAAAGTTATAACGAAAGCATGTGTCACTTTTGCCACTTTTAGTAGAATCACCCAATCTTGTTCTTGCTGTAGAGAGGCCCATGAAGGTCCGGGGTAGAATTGGTCTTCAGAAACCAGAGCTTGCTGCTAAAGGCGACCATGCTTGCCGTTAGAGGCGACTAACGGGATCGGGTGGTCAGGCTCTCGGGCTCAACGACCCCTGAAGATCCGGGGTAGAATAATTCTTCAGCAACACATGCTTGCCGTAAAAAGATGCCGAAGACTATGATCGTCGTAAGAGGCGACTAACGGGATAGTGTGGTCAGGCTAGCTGACTTGGTGGATGCATATCATCGTATCCCAATTGCGTGGATCGATGTTCATGATATCAAGCACTGGATTGACTCGATCATTTACAGATTGTCGTCATATAGCTGGAATGCGGCGTAAAACAACAACCAACCAACCATCTCGCTGTAGAGGGGTTCTTGTGAGTGTACCCGGGGCATACCTGCGACGTAACAAAGTCAACTTTCTGCAGACCTGCCATGTCTGTGACTAATTCGGATACCTCTGACACTATAAGCACAATTTAGTCAAAACATGTAACTTAAGAAATTTCACTAGTCGCATAAGACCCTGAGGTGAGAAATTACATATTTAAGTTGTCTACACGATCATTAGTTCATTAGCATGATTAGTTAAATCTATAGAAAATAAAATCGTTTTGTATCTGAGTAGAAGAATTATTTTAACCCATTAACTTCAAACGTTTTTATTTATTTGATCTTAATTCTACAAAGAATTAAGTCTATTAGGACTGTTCAATTATCACAACAGTTAAACGTCAAATGTTTGGACACGCCATCTCTTCTCCATTTTCTAACAACTGGGATATCTGACAAATGTGGTAAGACCACATAAATGCGTGTTCAGTGCCTCAAATATCATATACGTATATTACACGTGGTATTACACGTGGATATTTCGTTTAGCAAACAATTCTTTGCGTTTACGTTCCATGGCCAGGCCTAGTGGGCTAATATTCCCCAATGTGTGACAGTGTGACAGTGTTCTGGACACAAGGTGTATTGAGTTGACCCTTGACCCAGGTCAGGATGGACACGTGTCCACTCTAGTTCTGGTAGCAGTATGTGATCACGTGTTCAGATATGCAGTAAACATAATTATGTTATTCCCCACACAATGAAACCAAGAAAATAGGTTGGGGTAAAGTTTTAATTGCAACTGGAATCCATAATCGCTGACGTCTGAACACCGACTGCAGATTTCCTGTCATCGCAACTCCAGATCGGTGGGTACTTGCAACTCAGGGCTGGATAGTTGGTTCTTGATCTACTATACCACAGCTTTCCTTCATGGCATCTCAGCGTCGTGTGAAACTCCCTGTACTGGATCAAACAATATATCTGGACATGGATAAGACATGAACACACAATGCCATCAAATGTAACAAATGTTTTTTTGGGGATAACACTTTCTTAGTAAAGTACAGATTCTCGTACCTTTTGGGGTTTAGCACAGCACACAAAGTCAGCGATCTAACCAACTCAGGCTTCCACAAAATGAAAGTCCGACGACTGGTAGTCTAGATCACGTACTTTGTGTACCCTCTGACAAGTGTAAATTGGCGCGGCTCCCATGGCCGAAATTTATGGCTGGGTGGGTTAGATCAGGTACTTTGTGTACCCCTCTGAGCGTGGCGCGACTCCCATGGCCGAAAGCTATGGCTGAGCGGGTTAGATCACTGACTTTATGCACAGACATTTGTTTTGTAGGATGAGGGAAACCTTTACCAACAAATCTGTTTACCAAAAGAATGATAATTACAGACAAATGAAGACCGGGGAATGTTTATATTTTCTAAAGGATGCCATCAATTTTTTTACGTAACTAGTTTCGTAATCTACATCCAATTGTTTGTCTGACCGCCTCCGTGGCTATGTGGAATAGTAAGGCTGCCCGGAGAGCGGACGGTAGGTGGTTCTAACCCTGGCCGTGTCATACCAAAAAAAGGATGAGAGACGGTATTTGTTGTTACCCTGCCTCTTGCTCGACAGTTAAGGGATAAAACAAAACGGTCGGCTCGAAGTCTGTGTCTGAGTGGGGCATCCATGTTAAACTGGTATCTCAGTGGGTAGCCCCATTTCCCCTCTCACCACTATACCTACATTTGTTTGTTTGTTTGTTTGTATGTTTGTTTGTTTGTTGTTTAACGCCACTCTCAGCAATATTCCAGCTATATGACGGCGGTCTGAAAATAATCGAGTCTGAACCAGACAATCCAGTTGTTGACATCATGAGCATCGATCTACCCAATTTGGAAACGATGACATGCATCAACCAAACTAGCGAGACTGATCACCCGATCCTGTTAGTCGCCTCTTACGACAAGCATGGGCTGCAAAAGACCACATGTATTTTAACCCGGATCTTCACGGGTCTCTCTTTTTGTAAGTAACCGACCACAGAATATCCATCGAGCTTGGAGGAAGCGGTGTGTATTAACTAGTTACTTCGTGCACAAAAGACTATGTCCACAAACTAAAGCAGTCTCAGCATTAAGCTTAAGTGAGTGAGTGAGTATGGTTTTACACCGCTTTTAGCAATATTCCAGCAACATCACGGCGGGGGACACCAGAAATAGGCTTCACACATTGTACCCATGTCGGGATTCGAACCCGGGTCTTCGGCGAACGCTTTAACCACTAGGCTACCCGACCGCCCCTTAAGCTTAAAGACTGTTGACCGTTTATTCAGTGTAGACCAAAAGTTAAATTTACATCATACAATTGACAACGAGATGGGAGAGCACACACGCTGGAACTGACTCAAACATGTATATTTTAAGAACTTCATGTAAATATGTATTAAAAAGCAATTCCCGAGGAAGAGGTCAAGGTATGGGGCTGGATGGAGTATGGTTAGGTGTGTCCACGTCACCGTGTGTTATAACACAACTACAATACATCTTACTTGGCACACATTGGTATCCCTTGGTCTTTGTAAGGATGATCCTCTTGCACTCTGAACAGCATGTGACGCCATGGGGAGTTGAGCTGTTGTACTCCTGGTAACACAAACCAAAACCACTGTGTATTGAACTGTTTTATGGGAGACTCTTCCGGTTTGTCGGCGCTTTTAGCAATGTTTCAGCAATAGCACGGCGGGGGACACCAGAAATGGGTTTCAAACAGCGACCCATGTGGGGAATCGAACTCGGGTCTCGGCGTGACGAGCGAACGCTTTAACCTCTAGGCTACCCCGCTGTCCCGGCCTTTTTCTAACAAAACGATTTACAAACATTAAACATTGTAAAGAATATTAACATTGATTCGTGATCTGGTTGAGTGCGGTGTTAAAAACAAACAAACACACTATAATTCACCACCTATTGAGTAACAATTTAGTTAGCAAATGATCTGTTACCTCACCTGTGACTCTGAAATGTTGGCTTGACAGGTAACATCGGACGCGGAAAAATAGAAGAAGGGACACGTGACAATGTCATCACACAACAGGTCACACATCTTGAAGCCATACGGTTGCGCGTGGTACGTAAACGACGACAACGACATTGTCAGCGTGAAGGTCCAAACACATACACACATCCACAGGCAGAGCGGAGACATCCTCTTTCAACACACTCCAGTTTTTGAATCAATAGTTTCTTGGATGTCATGCTGATACAGTTGCAGTGTACTGGGTGACTGACATATCAGGGAATTTGCCCTTTACATCTCGGAATGTTATAAACTGTGTTTGATACTGCCACCACTGTATTGAAGTCTCATATTACCATACCCTTAAATAGGAGCTGAGCGCCTGTCTGGTCTCCAGGGACTCGTTGCTGGAGCGTCTTCCCGGCGACTGCATACCAAAATACTTAAATGGTACTTGTTGTTACCCTGTCTCACCCTCGGTATAAAGGATATAAAACAAGGACTGGTCGTCTCAGAGTGATATAATGTGCCTGAATGGGATATCCCCGTTATTCACGTCGCTATATAAGTATTATCATTTTGAAGGCGACGTTAAACCTGATTTCAAGTCTATCACTGTAGAAAATTACAGCCAACATCATTGCATTGCCACCACCAATCTCCATGAGAACCTATATATGGATATTCATGTTAAACTGCTGCATGTTCTTTTGTACACTCGCAACGTTCATCATAGTCCGGGGGCACGGGTGGCCCAGTCGTCTAAGGCGCCGTGATTCGCTGTGCAGAGTTACGTCCCTTGGGCACGCCAGAAACCTATGATTGTGGGTTCGAATCCCGGTTCGCCCCGATTATGTTTCTAGGTTTGTCAGCACCACACCCGTGCTCGTGGGTTTCACCGAAGTGGTAAACGTCAGAGACCTGCATCAGTTCGGGCTTTCCTCCCACTTTAAGCTGACACGCCGTGATATTACTGGAATAGTGTTAAAAGCGGCGTTAAACCCAACTCACTCACTCACTCAAGACTATCCTCCCATAATACATTGCAATGACAAGTCTGACAAGATTTTCAGATCGAAGCGAATTACTCATTGTAATATCTATCAACGGATAATAAACATTTAAAATGTATTCTCAGCTCCCTGGGAAGTGTATAACCAGGCTGTCAATGTTAGCTTTCATATTCCTATACATATTATCACCTCCTCCAGATGGGATCGCTGGATCAATCGACACATGTTAGTAATATCTTCTTGACGTTGAAAAAACAATGTACGATTAGAAAAACAAAATAATAAAAACAACTGATTTCATATAATTGCAAAAATATGGTTTTTAAAGAGTGACACTTCTTTTTCATTGATCTTGCAGCTGTCAAGAATATAGTTTGTGCTTTCCGAAACAATACAATTCTTGAACTAACAACGACTACGCATGTTCACACAAACACACACACACACGCACGCACACACACATGCACGCACGCACGCACGCACACGCACGCACACGCACGCACGCACACACACACACACACACATTGAAGACATACCTGATTACTAATTAAGTAAAAAATGTACGTGACATTTTATTGCTGAAGAATACCCCAACGTGATACCTGAGAACATATCACAAAAGATGTAGACAAAATACCACGGGTCATTTCAACTGAGAGTCTTGCAAAGAATTGCATAGTTCAGATGTTTTAGCATGTGGGTTTCGCTTTCAAAAAACTCATTTGACGAACAGAAGACTTCTATAACGAATGCGGTCTCAGTATCAGATTTTAACAGTCTAAATGTTGTTTGTCTGTTAAGTCTTTTATGTACGAGCTATCGAAAACTGAGACCCTTGTAACGGAGGCGGCTTCATTATTACCGGAGCGGCTGGGTAGCCTAGTGGTTGAAGCGTTCACTCATTCGCGCCGAAGACCCGGGTTCGATTCCCGACAGATTCATTCACTCATCTTTATTACCGAGCATGTCAAACGATAGAGTGCTGGAAGAGTTACCGTGGATGTTATTATGAAAGCAACCCTCTTTGTGAACATTCTAGAGTTTTGTTAATGCCCTATTTCTATGTACTTATCAGAGATATAAACGTTTAACTGTTCACATTGTTGACGCAATCACCAGCATTTATTATAGGGGGGGGGGGGGGGGGGGGGGGGGGGGGGGGGTAGCCTAGTGGTTAAAGCGTTCGCTCGTCACGCCAAAGGCCGGGCTTTGATTCCCTACATGGGTACAACGTGTGAAGCCCATTTCTGGTGTCACCCCAATGTACTGAACTCGGCGCCTTAGACGACTGCGATTTCTTAGAGGCGGTCCTCGAGCAAAGAAATAAGCTGTATGTAGACGATTTCTAATCATCTGACCCGTGACTCGTACCCCAGTACTTAGCCTTATGAAGATTTGCAGTAGTTTTATTCGCTGTGAGCTCGGTTTCGGATCAATCAATTCTGTACCCTTGTCGTTGACCTGAGACCCCTGAACAGGGTTGATCATCAACATTTTAGGTTTCTTGGTACCTGTTCCATAATCACAGGCTGTGACACATTAACGTATTGACCATAGTTCGTCCATAGGATATTTGTCGTCAACACTTTTCTTTGTTCTAATATTTGGTATTGGCATTTATATTTCACAATCCCACTACTTCTTAAGCGTAATTTAGAACTGTGATGCTAGATTACTAAGCTATATGTATATATGTCTGTTATCTATACGAACTACAATAGCCTGGTACTGTGTGCCCCTTGTTATCAGACTGGTGTTTGATAACACAATTTGAAGCCTGTATGAACGAGCTGTGTGTACACATTTCAATATATTGCCAAATACTTCATACAGATGTAGTAATTCCTGCTGGAATATGACCTCACACCTTGACCCCAGTCTACAGGTGATGATAGGAGAACTTGACAACGAAGATTGCGTTTTTATGTCCTCAGATCCCAGTGTCAAATTGAACAAAGGTACTCAATCATCATACAGACAAATTTAGGTGAGTTACCAGGCATATGTACAGACACCTCTTCCATGTGGAATGGTATATCATTGTGTGTCTTGGAAGTGATGTCAACGGACTGCTGGTTGTATTAAACATAGGGGCGGTCGGGTAGCCTAGTGGTTAAAGCGTTCGCTCGTCACGCCGAAAACCCGGGTTCGAATCCCGACATATACAATGTGTGAAGCCCATTTCTGGTGTCCCCCGCCGTGATATTGCTGGAATATTGCTAAAAGCGGCGTAAAACCAAACTCACTCACTCACTATTAAACATAAATCATCCAGAGCGTTTGGGTTGATATGCTGACAACAAGAGTTACCCCCCTTTGTTAGATAGCACTGCATGTGTGTTTATTGTTTAACGCCGCAATCAGTAATACTCCAGTTGTGTGAGGGTTGTCGGTAAATAATCGAGTCTTGACCAGACAATCCAGTGATTGACACCATGAGCATCTATCCTAGCAGTTAGGATACAATGGCATCATGCGATGCCAACAGCGAGCCGGACCAGAAGATCCCGTTAGTCGCCTCTCGCGACAAACATGGGTTGCTGAAGACCAATTCGAACCCGGATCTTCAAAGCAGACTCCATGCTGTAAAACTGTTTGATGCATATGTAAAATGACCGTTGAGGTTCAGGTAACTGTTAATCCAAGATGTGCTTCCTTTTGTTGATTACACCAATATGTTAACTGACTTGATTCTGGTTAGTTAAAAAGAGGTTTCCTTTTTGCAAAAGAAACCTCATTTAAATATTAAAACATTTCACACAAAACGGTGCGTATGAATACATCGATAGCCTAAATATCGATCCATAACAAATGGCTGCCGATCACCGATAAGAACTGTATACCGTATACATATTTCCTCTAATGACGCTGGGTCTCCAGCACAAGCCAGGTCTCTAATTGACGGCCGGACAACGGCCCCCGCGAAAGTAATAGCTTTCCCATCGTGTACAGTATAAATAACTCTCTATGTGGTGACGGCAGTATACTGGTCCCAAAGAGGGGTAACTCTCTATGTGCTGACGGCAGTATACTGGTCCTGAAGAATGTTAACTCTCTATGTACTGACGGCAGTATACTGGTCCCGAAGAGGGTTAACTCTCTATGTGCTGACGGCAGTATACTGGTCCTGAAGAATGTTAACTCTCTATGTACTGACGGCAGTAAACTGGTCCTGAAGAGGGTTAACTCTCTATGTGCTGACGGCAGCATACAAGTCCTGAAGAATGTTAACTCTCTATTTACTGACGGCAGTATACTGGTCCTGAAGAATGTTAACTCGTTATTTACTGACGGAAGTATACAGGTCCTGAAGAATGTTCACTCTTTATTTACTGACGGCAGTATACTGGTCCTGAAGAATGTTAACTCTCTATGTGCTGACGGCAGTATACAGGTCCTGGAGAATGTTATCTCTCTATGCGTTGACGGCAGTATACTGGTCCCGAAGAGGGTTAACTCTTATGTGCTGACGGCAGTATTCAGGTCTTGAAGAGCGTTAACTCTTTAGGTGCTGATGACAGTATACAGGTCCCAAAGGGGGGTAACTCTCTATGTACTGACGGCAGTATACTGGCCCTGAAGAATGTTAACTCTCTATGTACTGACGGCAGTATACTGGTCCTGAAGAGGGTTAACTCTTTATGTACCGACGGCAGTATACTGGTCCCGAAGAGGGTTAACGCTCTATGTGCTGACGGCAGTATACTGGTCCTGAAGAGGGTTTACTCTCTACTCATGACGGCGGTCTGTTATTAATCGAGTCTTGACCAGACAATCCAGTGTTTTATACCCTGAGCATCGATCTAGGCAATTCGGATACGATGGCATGCATTTATCACGTCAACCATATCTTACCTTCATTTGTTGCTCAAAACCAATTCTAATCCGGATTGTCATTGGGAGGGGTGCGTGTGTTATAACATAACCATGGCTATTAATATTAACAAACGGTACATCTATCCTAAAAAAGTGACAAATCGACAAAGCTTATTCAAAATAAAAGGGTTCTTGGTTAACATTCTTTTGTAATATGGAAATTCTTAACGTCGCATAATTGTATGGTTAATATAAGCGTGATCGATTCAGGAACAAGGGTCACGTGGGAACTCATGTCTTCAAGTGCCATTGATATTACATTTCCAGGACAATGTGGATTCTGATATTAGTGGCAGTCTTACCTCACTCAGTGGTGGAGGCCAAAGGAGGGAGTGGGTGTGGGAAGCTACCCACTCCAGCAGTAGGTGAGTTGACACAGTGGTAGTCAATGGAGATTCAGAATGTGTAGGTGAGTTGACACAGTGGTAGTCTATGGAGATTCAGAATGTGTAGGTGAGTTGACACAGTGGTAGTCTATGGAGATTCAGAATCTGTAGGTGAGTTGACACAATGGTAGTCAATGGAGATTCAGAATGTGTAGGTGAGTTGACACAGTGGTAGTCAATGGAGATTCAGAATGTGTAGGTGAGTTGACACAGTGCTAGTCAATGGAGATTCAGAATGTGTAGGTGAGTTGACACAGTGGTAGTCAATGGAGATTCAGAATGTGTAGGTGAGTTGACACAGTGGTAGTCAATGGAGATTCAGAATGTGTAGGTGAGTTGACACAGTGGTAGTCAATGGAGATTCAGAATGTGTAAGTGAGTTGACACAGTGGTAGTCAATGGAGATTCAGAATGTGTAGGTGAGTTGACACAGTGGTAGTCAATGGAGATTCAGAATGTGTAGGTGAGTTGACACAGTGGTAGGCAATGGAGTTTCAGAATGTGTAGGTGAGTTGACACAGTGGTAGTCAATGGAGATTCAGAATGTGTAGGTGAGTTGACACAGTAGTAGTCTATGGAGATTCAGAATGTGTAGGTGAGTTGACACAGTGGTAGTCAATGGAGATTCAGAATGTGTAGGTGAGTTGACACAGTGCTAGTCAATGTACATTCAGAATGTGTAGGTGAGTTGACACAGTGCTAGTCAATGGAGATTCAGAGTGTGTAGGTGAGTTGACACAGTGGTAGTCAATGGAGATTCAGAGTGTGTAGGTGAGTTGACACAGTGCTAGTCAATGGAGATTCAGAGTGTGTAGGTGAGTTGACACAGTGGTAGTCAATGGAGATTCAGAATGTGTAGGTGAGTTGACACAGTGCTAGTCAATAGAGATTCAGAATGTGTAGGTGAGTTGACACAGTGGTAGTCAATGGAGATTCAGAATGTGTAGGTGAGTTGACACAGTGGTAGGCAATGGAGTTTCAGAATGTGTAGGTGAGTTGACACAGTGCTAGTCAATGGAGATTCAGAATGTGTAGGTGAGTTGACACAGTAGTAGTCTATGGAGATTCAGAATGTGTAGGTGAGTTGACACAGTGGTAGTCAATGGAGATTCAGAATGTGTAGGTGAGTTGACACAGTGCTAGTCAATGGAGATTCAGAATGTGTAGGTGAGTTGACACAGTGCTAGTCAATGTACATTCAGAATGTGTAGGTGAGTTGACACAGTGCTAGTCAATGGAGATTCAGAGTGTGTAGGTGAGTTGACACAGTGCTAGTCAATGGAGATTCAGAATGTGTAAGTGAGTTGACACAGTGCTAGTCAATGGAGATTCAGAGTGTGTAGGTGAGTTGACACAGTGGTAGTCAATGGAGATTCAGAATGTGTAAGTGAGTTGACACAGTGCTAGTCAATAGAGATTCAGAATGTGTAGGTGAGTTGACACAGTGCTAGTCAATAGAGATTCAGAATGTGTAGGTGAGTTGACAGAGTGGTAGTCAATAGAGATTCAGAATGTGTAGGTGAGTTGACACAGTGCTAGTCAATAGAGATTCAGAATGTGTAGGTGAGTTGACACAGTGGTAGTCAATGGAGATTCAGAATGTGTAGGTGAGTTGACACAGTGGTAGTCAATGGAGATTCAGAATGTGTAGGTGAGTTGACACAGTGGTAGTCAATGGAGATTCAGAATGTGTAGGTGAGTTGACACAGTGGTAGTCAATGGAGATTCAGAATGTGTAGGTGAGTTGACACAGTAGTAGTCTATGGAGATTCAGAATGTGTAGGTGAGTTGACACAGTGCTAGTCAATGGAGATTCAGAATGTGTAGGTGAGTTGACACAGTGCTAGTCAATGTACATTCAGAATGTGTAGGTGAGTTGACACAGTGGTAGTCAATGGAGATTTCAGAATGTGTAGGTGAGTTGACACAGTGCTAGTCAATGTACATTCAGAATGTGTAGGTGAGTTGACACAGTGGTAGTCAATGGAGATTCAGAGTGTGTAGGGGAGTTGACACAGTGCTAGTCAATGGAGATTCAGAATGTGTAAGTGAGTTGACACAGTGCTAGTCAATGGAGATTCAGAGTGTGTAGGTGAGTTGACACAGTGGTAGTCAATGGAGATTCAGAATGTGTAGGTGAGTTGACACAGTGCTAGTCAATAGAGATTCAGAATGTGTAGGTGAGTTGACACAGTGCTAGTCAATAGAGATTCAGAATGTGTAGGTGAGTTGACACAGTGGTAGTCAATGGAGATTCAGAATGTGTAGGTGAGTTGACACCGTGGTAGTCAATGGACATTCAGAATGTGTAGGTGAGTTGACACAGTGCTAGTCAATAGAGATTCAGAATGTGTAGGTGAGTTGACACAGTGCTAGTCAATAGAGATTCAGAATGTGTAGGTGAGTTGACACAGTGGTAGTCAATGGAGATTCAGAATGTGTAGGTGAGTTGACACCGTGGTAGTCAATGGACATTCAGAATGTGTAGGTGAGTTGACACAGTGGTAGTCAATGGAGATTCAGAATGTGGAGGTTAGTTGACACCGTGGTAGTCAATGGACATCCAGAATGTGTAGGTGAGTTGACACAGTGGTAGTCAATGGAGATTCAGAATGTGTAGGTGAGTTGACACAGTGGTAGTCAATGGAAATTCAGAATGTGTAGGTGAGTTGTCAATGGAGATTCAGAATGTGTAGGTGAGTTGACACAGTGGTAGTCAATGGAGATTCAGAATGTGTAGGTGAGTTGACACAGTGCTAGTCAACAGAGATTCAGAATGTGTAAGTGAGTTGACACAGTGCTAGTCAATAGAGATTCAGAATGTGTAGGTGAGTTGACACCGTGGTAGTCAATGGAGATTCAGAATGTGTAGGTGAGTTGACACAGTGCTAGTCAATGTACATTCAGAATGTGTAAGTGAGTTGACACAGTGCTAGTCAATGGAGATTCAGAGTGTGTAGGTGAGTTGACACAGTGGTAGTCAATGGAGATTCAGAATGTGTAGGTGAGTTGACACAGTGGTAGTCAATGGAAATTCAGAATGTGTAGGTGAGTTGTCAATGGAGATTCAGAATGTGTAGGTGAGTTGACACAGTGGTAGTCAATGGAGATTCAGAATGTGTAGGTGAGTTGACACAGTGCTAGTCAATAGAGATTCAGAATGTGTAAGTGAGTTGACACAGTGCTAGTCAATAGAGATTCAGAATGTGTAGGTGAGTTGACACCGTGGTAGTCAATGGAGATTCAGAATGTGTAGGTGAGTTGACACAGTGGTAGTCAATGGAGATTCAGAGTGTGTAGGGGAGTTGACACAGTGCTAGTCAATGGAGATTCAGAATGTGTAAGTGAGTTGACACAGTGCTAGTCAATGGAGATTCAGAGTGTGTAGGTGAGTTGACACAGTGGTAGTCAATGGAGATTCAGAATGTGTAGGTGAGTTGACACAGTGGTAGTCAATGGAGATTCAGAATGTGTAGGTGAGTTGACACAGTGGTAGTCAATGGAGATTCAGAATGTGTAGGTGAGTTGACACAGTGGTAGTCAATGGAGATTCAGAATGTGTAGGTGAGTTGACACAGTGGTAGTCAATGGAGATTCAGAATGTGTAGGTGAGTTGACACAGTGCTAGTCAATGGAGATTCAGAATGTGTAGGTGAGTTGACACAGTGGTAGTCAATGGAGATTCAGAATGTGTAGGTGAGTTGACACAGTGGTAGGCAATGGAGTTTCAGAATGTGTAGGTGAGTTGACACAGTGCTAGTCAATGGAGATTCAGAATGTGTAGGTGAGTTGACACAGTAGTAGTCTTTGGAGATTCAGAATTTGTAGGTGAGTTGACACAGTGCTAGTCAATGGAGATTCAGAATGTGTAGGTGAGTTGACACCGTGGTAGTCAATGGAGATTCAGAATGTGTAGGTGAGTTGACACAGTGCTAGTCAATGTACATTCAGAATGTGTAGGTGAGTTGACACAGTGGTAGTCAATGGAGATTCAGAGTGTGTAGGTGAGTTGACACAGTGCTAGTCAATGGATATTCAGAATGTGTAAGTGAGTTGACACAGTGGTAGTCAATGGAGATTCAGAGTGTGTAGGTGAGTTGACACAGTGGTAGTCAATGGAGATTCAGAATGTGTAGGTGAGTTGACACAGTGGTAGTCAATGGAGATTCAGAATGTGGAGGTTAGTTGACACCGTGGTAGTCAATGGACATCCAGAATGTGTAGGTGAGTTGACACAGTGGTAGTCAATGGAGATTCAGAATGTGTAGGTGAGTTGACACAGTGGTAGTCAATGGAAATTCAGAATGTGTAGGTGAGTTGTCAATGGAGATTCAGAATGTGTAGGTGAGTTGACACAGTGGTAGTCAATGGAGATTCAGAATGTGTAGGTGAGTTGACACAGTGCTAGTCAATAGAGATTCAGAATGTGTAAGTGAGTTGACACAGTGCTAGTCAATAGAGATTCAGAATGTGTAGGTGAGTTGACACCGTGGTAGTCAATGGAGATTCAGAATGTGTAGGTGAGTTGACACAGTGCTAGTCAATGTACATTCAGAATGTGTAAGTGAGTTGACACAGTGCTAGTCAATGGAGATTCAGAGTGTGTAGGTGAGTTGACACAGTGGTAGTCAATGGAGATTCAGAATGTGTAGGTGAGTTGACACAGTGGTAGTCAATGGAAATTCAGAATGTGTAGGTGAGTTGTCAATGGAGATTCAGAATGTGTAGGTGAGTTGACACAGTGGTAGTCAATGGAGATTCAGAATGTGTAGGTGAGTTGACACAGTGCTAGTCAATAGAGATTCAGAATGTGTAAGTGAGTTGACACAGTGCTAGTCAATAGAGATTCAGAATGTGTAGGTGAGTTGACACCGTGGTAGTCAATGGAGATTCAGAATGTGTAGGTGAGTTGACACAGTGGTAGTCAATGGAGATTCAGAGTGTGTAGGGGAGTTGACACAGTGCTAGTCAATGGAGAT